TCTGTGCATATATAATTAACGGAGGGCCTTACATGTTTCTGGAAACCAAACATATGATTTGAAGTACCAAGGAAGGCAATGGATACTCAAGCAGAGAAGGTGTATGTTGCCGTAGGGAATGATATAGAAGATGGATTTAAGACCTTGGAGTGGACCCTAAAGAAGTGGAATTCCAAGCCAATTTCCATGGTCCTTCTCCATGTAACTTACAACATTTCCCAGGAGTTTGTGTACACCCCATGTAAGTTGCATAATTGGATTTCAATTTCCTTGATTAATTTTCAGTATTTTTTGTACTAGCGAGAAATTGGCGCAGTGGGAATCAAACTCGGGACTTTGGATGCATGGTGTGAATGCTCTTAACCAATTGACCTACAAACCTACAAGGCCCTTATCATTTTCCTAACTTTTAGTTTGATAGGAATTTCTATTTATTTTTCTTTTATTTTTCATTTTGATTCAGTTGGGAAGCTCCCTGCAAGTTCTGTGAGTGATGAGAAATTGAAAGTTTTTATTAAGTATGAGCAGGAAAGGATTGACGAGTTGCTGTCCAAGTACATATCATTCTGTGGCCAGGTTTTTGTAATTGCTTGATTTTTTCCTTTGATTCCTGCTAAAACGGGATTAATTATATTGTCCTAACTACCATCACAAGTTGTTTCTTATATTTTCCAGAACTTTATTTGATGTTCATAGGTAAAGGCTGAATTGCTCAGAGTAGAAAAATGTGAGCAACCAATTCATACAGTCGTCACAGATTTGATCCGTAGACACAACATAACCAAACTGGTTATTGGATTTCCTTTCCTGAAGAGTTCATCTTGGTCCGCTTCTTCATTTTATTGTTTTCTTTTTCATTTTCATTGATTAATTGTACTTAACTTTTCTCTCTTTGCGATGTAGGAGAATGAAGAGTGCGGTAAGTGGATCATTTTATGTTCATCATCACAAGCCCGATTTCTGTGAATTATTCATAATTTGTGGGGGAAGACGGGTTTTCCTCAGAGGGGAGAACAGTAAAGGAGTCATAGAGGATGATCAAGGTGTAACGGTTGCAAAAATCAGAGAAAAATCCAGTTTCAAAGCTTGGCTAGCAAAAATGTTCAACGAAAATCCAGCATATTCCCTTGATACAATTTCTCATCCCTCTCTCGGATTTTCAACAAATCCCTACTCCTCAAGCTCACAGAACCAACGGGGAAATTGTGTCCAAGAACTTGAAAACTATTTCCAGCATTTGTTGTATTTGAAAATGGATGAAGAAGGAGTGCACAACAGTCGAATGGAGTTGACTACGCCGGAACATGCGGACTCTGATATGGTTAGTTGGTAAAAATGAGTGCAACCTTGCTGGTCTTCATTGATTGTTGTTAGATTAGTATGATTTAATTAATTCAAGACACGAATGTGAAAATTTAAACTAATCTAACAACAATTAATAAAAAAAAATGAGCATCACCCTTACTTTTAAGAGGTGAGCAAAATTGTTCCCTTATAAAAAAAAAAAATATTTATTTAATGCTACCAAAACTATCTTTCTTGGTCTAATTTTGAAGTAGGTAAAGAATGATGAAGCTATTCAACGGCTCCACTAAGCTCTCTTTTGCACCAAATTCCATCATTTTGTTTCCTCGCTTAAATTTCTTTTTGACCTTAGAAGCATATGAGAGTGATGGTTATACTCCAAACCTTCTAACACGTAATGAGTTAATGTTTTTATCTGCAAATCACGGTGTAATATATCTCACATTATGACACGTGCAAAACTAATTCATTAAAATTACAAAAGAATAGTTTGTGAACGTGTCAAATTTTAATTTGCATACATAAAGAAATAACTTATAGCATGTTAAGCTGTAATTTGTTTGTTTGATACTAAGTATAATTTGCACTAGAGCCTCCTTGTCAAGTACAGGTCATGCCTATCCTGTCCATGTGTTTAGACTTTGCTTCCCCAAAATTCAAATAGGACCAACCTTTTGCCATTTTAAATTGTAGGGGAACCCAAATTAAGTATTATTTATGAAATTCCTTTGATCATAACATATAGTAACAGTTCATGTTATACTCTTCTATTTTTAATATCTAAAAGAAAAATGCCACAACTTGGCTCATATCAGATTGCTGCAGAAGATATAGAGTCCAGGAAGAAAACTTTAAAGGAAGCTCAAGACATGATCAAGTTGAAAAGAAAGGAAGCCAAGGCCAATCTTGAAAGAAGCACTAAAGCACAACGGGCCATTTCTTTATGCAATCGTCGGGTAATACACATGATATAAAACAAATCAATTTTGTTCTTCTTTTTGTTGTGAACCTGTAATGAATTTTCATGTTTTATAGGCTGAACAACTTGAAGCAAAGATAAATGAAGAGGCGACTAAGCGAGAAGAGTTGAAGAAAGCATTGGACTCCGAAAAGGAACAACTTCATGAAGTTATAATGGATACTGAAGAAAGCAAGAATAGGCTAAGTTCACTCATGGAGCTCCAGTTTGAACTCTCAAACAAACTTCAAATATCTACATTTGCAAAATCAAACAGTGAGGCCCAACTAGAAAAGGCGGTAAGTACCCGAGCGGAGATGGTTAGAGAGATTGAGGAACTACGGCAGCAGAGAGATGTTCTTCATCGTAGAATCGAGTTTTGCAAAGAAAAGGATGCAATTGGAATGGTCGCAAGGCTTAGTGACACGAGCTGTGGTTTCAAGGAGTACACAGCCGAGGAGATCAGATTGGCAACAAATGATTTTTCAGAGCGTTTGAGAATTAAACCAGGAGGAGATTGGACTAGTATATATAGAGGGCGCATCAACCATGCCACAGTTGCAATCAAAATGCTCAACTCTGGTAATGAACTCTCTAAGCAAGATTTTCAAGCCAAGGTAAACCCCATACAAGAAAATGTTCATGTTCTATTATGTTATATTGTGAGGAATGTGTTGTTCCAATTCATAATCCGATAATATAACATATTTGACTGTTTACAGTGACAACATTACGCATTTCCTAAAATATATGCCCCTATAACCGAAGTAATTGATTGATTGGACACCGCATATCAGTTTTGAGGTTGTTTCAAATTGACAGAAAAACGTTGATGATTTGCATATGCAGGTGACAGTCCTTGGCCACTTTCGGCATCCAAACTTGATCACAATGATTGGGTTCTGCACTGAGCTAAGGTGCATTGTGTTCGAATACATGCACAATGGTAGCTTGAGAGATATATTCTTGAGGGACATATTGTTCTCCTCCCACCTAAGCTCGAAGACAAGAAAAAGAACCATAGGATGGCACGACCGTATACGTATTGCATCCGAAATATGTTCGGGCTTGGGCTTTCTCCACATGGCAAAGCCAAAACCGATTGTTCATGGTCGGCTTTCCTTGTCCAACATCCTCTTGGACCGCAATCTTGTAACAAAAATCAGCGGTTTTGGCCTATTACTTACCCATGATGAACAAAGTGTTCGATCTGACATTCGTGCTTTCGGAGTTTTGATGATGCATCTTTTAACTGGAAGGAACTGGGCAGGGCTAGGTCAGGCAATGAACATGGACCAAGCAGCTGTTATCCGAGATTTAGATGACATGGCTGGACAGTGGCCATTGGATCTAGCAGAGAAACTAGCAGGTTTAGCATTGATGTGCTTGACAAGTAACCGCAGGCCTAGTCGAGATTTGAACCTGGCAACATTGACGGAAGAGCTTCATGAGTTGAAGAAAAGAGCTGATGATTTAGTGGCAAGTGAGCGGGTGAAGGACGAAGATGTAAAAGCAAAAGACACGCCTGATGTACCTAGTTTTTTCCTGTGCCCCATTTTTCAGGTTTGTTGTCCTTTCAACTCACATAACAGTGTTTCGTTTGTTTTACTGCTAATCATGCAAGAAAATACATAATTTACTAACAGAGTGCGCTTAACTTTGCAGGAAGTGATGAAGAATCCACATGCGGCAGCGGATGGGTTTTCATATGAACTCGACGCCATAGAGGAATGGCTAAGAATGGGGCATGATACATCGCCCATGACAAACTTAAGGCTCAAGCACACATTTCTTACCCCTAATCACACCCTCCGTTCCCTCATCCAGGACTGGCATAATAAGAGATTACTTCCACCCCCATAACATGTATATACGAGATCAGATTGGTTTAATTTTCGTAGCAATCAAGAAAAGAGAACTGTCATTTCCGCCCGAGAAACAGTTAATCATGCATGCTGATAATCAATCCCACGTTTCTAATTACAGTTGTATGTCTGCAGTCTCCCTGGTGACAATATAGATATCCAACACCTAGTCAAATATAATATGCATCTCACTCTCGGAAAATCTATATTTTCAAGTCACAGGACCAAGTCTGCTGCATGTCAACGACTCTAAAACCAGGCAACTGTAAGTCCGTTACATCGTCTACAACTTCTTTTGCAACCCTCCTATATGCATTCCCACTTTGTGAGACCATCGGCTATCCAACTTCGAAGCCAATCAGATATAGGTGCACTATAATCTACTGTAGAAGGATCCCTCAAATCGTTGCAACTTGCAAAATGTGTCTCGTTTGAGCGGTAGATCTTATCTTTCCGTTCTGTCAATGTCTTTTGTCCAAGGAGAAAAACCTCTTGGTTCTTCATATTCTTTTACATTATGATGAACTGCAATGGAAAATCAACTTTTGGATAGTGCACAGGTTGGTCCTGAATATTTGCTTTACGGCTTGCTTCACCCTTGAACTCGTCGATCTGAGGGAAGTAATGGTATGATCTGCATGAATCGAGTTCGAACTCTGGGTTGAATGACTGCGGTGTCACTACTCTTTTCTTCAACATCCTCCACCTCATCTTGTTAAGACAAGGTCTTGTAACGAGGTTATTTATTGGAATAATGAGGTTAGTCCAAGATCAAGTGGGCCGTAAAACTAAGGGGGATGTCGCTAATACAGGAATCACACTCCTACATAATAGGCCCGAAAAATTGAATAATTCTTCCACTAATGCAAGAGTCGGTTAATAAATTTCTATTTAGGAAGAATAATTGTATTATGAAGTTACAGATCACAAAGAGCAAAATTTGTAGCCCTTACTAAACTTTCCCAGTCATTTGCAGAATCAATTGAATTGATTGCAAACCTCGTCATATTACAACATTTCCAATTTGGTGTAGGCAGCTAATTGCTCTGTGTATATAGTTATTTTTCTTCACTTGAGCCGTATCCAAAATCTACCAAGTGCCCTTGAATTTTTATTCTACTCCTAGCTCGTACATGTGGTCTGCTAAAATATCACCCACCTAGACGTTTCGCCTGGCAAAAATATCTGGAAGCTTTCTTGGCAAGGAATAATCTTCAAGCGAAGATGGATCCATCGAGATGTCTTCTGGACGTGACCATAAATAAACCCCTCGTTCTTGCCGGCTGCCTGGGACAGTGTTTTCCAATACAAATGCTACCAGAAACGTCACCACCATGTTCAAAGACATAAGTCCATTCATAGCAAAATCAAGCTGTCAGACATTTTAACAGCGAATCAGCTCGTATCTAACTCAAAGGACACAAACAGAATTTGAAACTGTTCAAAGAACAGACTCTGACAATAAGTTTCTTTACTTGTTCTAAAATGGACCCTAGACGCGTCATATTATGATCATCTTTATCTGCCTAGCAAAAAAAGTATGGGCTTTTTACACATAAGCCGATGATAACATCACAATTTAGAGAAAAACATTTCAAACCCAATGCTTTAGAGAAAAACCCAACTTATTTTGCAACACCAAAGGAATTTTCACAGGTAAGAATCAATTAGAGCATGACAAATGGATAGATGATGGTTTTTTACTCCAACTGAGCGCTTGACTTGTTTTTTCTTTAACTTATAGTTGTGATGGTCTTTTCTCTTATTTACTACAAACTTAATACCTAAAAATGATTTTAACCATTTTCAAAAACCAGGTCATCAGAATAAGTGGTCTTGTAACTAACTAGAATCTAAACTAAGTTGGACAGTCCATGACAATCAAGCTAATCAGCAGGAAATTTTATATAAATGGTATCTCAAAACTAGAATGTTTCAGCGGTTCATCACTATTTTCATAGAAACTTCTCTATTTATTTTTCTTTCTTTTTTTGTCTTTTAATTTTTAGGGGGGGTGGTAAAGCACTGATATTTCATGCGTTTGTAAACTTAGAATCATAAAGGAAGCAAAGATAAAATAGCTTTCTTACTTGTTTAATGTTGGTGTGGACAGGTCCACTAGATGCTGCACCATAGGGAACAAAATAGCTAGGCAGTATGAGGCTGGTTTCGGGTTGATATTGTTGAAAATATGCTGGGATAGAGAAACCAAGGAATAAGGAAACACCAACAATCATTATGTTTCTAAAACTTGCTGCTCGACTATATTGCAAAGTTGAGAGACCCAGTGCCACCACAAGGGCCCACGTGAAGCAGAGTACTGAAGCAGCCAAGGATAGTGGTATAGAGGCAAGAATGGCACCCACTTTTCCTACAGCATAAGTGAAAACAATACATGTTATTCAGAAGAAGAAAAGAAGTTTTAAATTATCCACCAAGAATTGCCAGCAAGCTAACTATATCTGTCAACAATGGCAACCAAATAGGCATGCGAACTGGTATTGAAAAATTGGGATCTGATACAATATGCTTACATGCACTAAATTGTCGAATATGATACAACATGTATCCAGTACATATCATAATTTAACACTTACTACTTTGTGCTTCACTTTACCTATAAATGAGAAGAAGATTAGGAGAACTGCTCCAAGTTCCACGGCCCTGCGACTTGCTACCTTTGTTATGTCAACTGTATGCATATTTTCTGTCAATGTTGTTGACCCAGTACCTGAACCCCAAACTCCAGCCAATATACTGCAAAAACCCTCCAGTGCAATTCCTCTGCTGACAATTCCTGGGGTTGGAGGCTTCAAATTAATTCGCACAGATGTAGTGTGGTATGTTCCAACCTAAACAAGTTATTGTACCATATGCATCAGTGTCATGGTGGTATTTCAAAAATTTTGCTTATATACCATCCTAAACATACAGATCTAAAGTTTCTTTAGCATTAACCAGACAGGGATTGGCCTTTGCCAATTACAAAGCCTTCAACGTAGCACAAATTTATAGCATTATTCAAGGGCATTTTACTAATCCCCTACTCAGAGACAAGACATTTTGGGAGTTTATATGCTTGCCTTACCAATGGCCTGACATAAGCAGCAGTGGTGTGTGCACAAACACAAGCATGTGAAATCATATTTAAAACTGATTTTCAGCTGCATTTGAGTTACAAGGTACCCACCGAATCAACTGATGCAACAAGCGACACAAAGATCAGGATAATAGAAGTCCTGAAATGGAAGATAGGAATACCCCACTGTAAAGGGTAAGGAATCCGAACCCATGCAGCAGTTCTCAATGCATTCGAAACATCGGTCCTGCAATGTCTCATTGTATATGCATGCTTTCTGCAAGCATCTATTAAGATATTTGAACTAGGTACATCAGCACTGCAGCCCTTGTAATCATATGCTCCACCGGCTGTCAAAAAGAATGCATAAGTCCAGATGATCATAACACTCAATGGAACCTGCAATGAGAAAATGTTTGCAAGATCAATTAAGTCACAATCTCAGCTTGTACCAAAAAAAGTTACAAAAACATTGTAAGTGATACCAACAACTAGACAGAAGGGAGCAGAGTGAATTATCATGTTATTCATTCTTTTTTTTTAACTATCAAATGAAAAACTGTAAATTGTTTGGCCTTCTTGTTCATGGGCAGGGTTTTAGGAGAGGCTTCAGATTGGTGGTTTGGCTTGGGTAGGTTTTTAGTCCTACAATTTGTCCAATGCATCTCTTATTAAGAATTTGGCATGTCAGACAGTCATGGGCAAAACAGTCGTGTCCAACAAAGTCCATAACTGATGACCACAATGATATACAACAAAATTACCCAGCCAGGATTTGGAAAACAGATACAGCAATAGAGCTTAGATGTCAATTAAAGTACATATTCGAACCTGGTTGTAAGAACTTGGATACTTTTAATCTTGTCCCAAAAATGGGCAAACCTTAGATAGCATTAGAGGCCTCCCCTAGAATGATGTTGGGAATTGAAGTTTCCACTATGGCACAATACGTGGACCATATGAGCCCTTTTCCCCGTCAAAAGAGCAGGCAAATTATAGGATAGGGTTCAGTCACACATACCAAACACTGAAATCTTCAAGCTCAAAAGACTTCAAAGAACAATATCTAATTTAATAAATAAATACAGTTTCTGTAAAATAACACATTTGTAAGGAAATTAGCATTTGTTAACACTTACCGCATAAATCTGAAAAAAGCAATTCCCAAAGATGGATACCCCTCGAAGGTACTATAATCGAAGCAAAAAAAATTAAGGAATTAGCATTTGTTAGCACTTACCAAAAGCATTTAAGACAATCAATGAGGTATAGAACTACAGGCTTCATAGGCATATGTAGTACCAAACATGCTCACCAGGGTGAATATGAGAACCAAAAGTATCAGCGGAACACTGATTTCCACACAACTACCAGCTTGAGGAAAGCCATAGCTAAAAAACGCTAAACCTACAGCAGCAACTGTTGGTGCAACGACAATGGGATTTATCAATCTGAAAGGAGTTATCATACATATCAGAAAGGGAAATTGCATAACTTATACATGCACAAGCAAACATTAATCAGTTTTAAAGTATTAGCCATAGCAAATGCGCTGGGCCTCCTGAAACAAACTATATATGCAACCATGATTTAATTTCTCAATACTAGGCTATATTCTATCAAATTATCTTTGCTATATCCCCATGACATGATTAAACAAGCAAAATATGCAAAAATAATGTCTCCTAAGTTGTTTTACACTGTCAATTGTCATAAATAAAGAAAATGAAAGATAGATAATCCAGTAGGATTAGGAGCAGAGCCAATTTATACAAGAAACACATTTTCATTCCAGAGAATATATTATTTGTCTTTTCAACAAGCACTGAAATATTGGCAGAACGAAAATTTTACAAGAAACCTCTTGGATTACCTCAGCACAAAGGACATTAAACCACTAAATCCCAGGAGGCTTTGAAATATCGAACCAACAATGACAGCTCCCTGCAGTTCTCTCATTATATGCCTAAATTTCTGAAACAAAATTAATGAACAATAAAATTATGAGGTCCCTGTAACTTCTAACATGAAAATAATGACAGTCAACTTCATTTCAGAAGGGTATAATTTTTAAATACTCAAGATGCAACAGCAAAAGCCACTAATTCAAGTAGGAAAATTCACCTCGATGTAAAATTTCTAGATAATTATGGCAAAACTCAAGGAAATTACAGTTGATAGAATCTCAACCATTGTTTGTTCTACTGAACTTACATGCTCTGTAACATTTCGATATTCCTGAGCATTAATGATAACTAAGGCCGGTGCCAAGTATACAAATGAACTTCCTTGAACTAATGGAAGTCGGGTTCCAAAGTAAGAGTGCAGTATTGTTGTAATGCCAGAAACCAGCAGCACTGTTGAAATAACCGTGGCGGTATCCTTCTATGGTTATATAGGCAAAAACATACAGTGAGTTTTCCAGTTTAAGTTGACAGACAAAAAGAACACAAGGCAACACATGCTTACATCTGTTCCACCCATGGCCGGTACCATGATCAGGGGGATGAATATAAGTGAGCCAGCCAGTGATAAATAGTGCTGCAGACCGTAATACATTAGTGGGACTGCAATAAAAAACAACCAAATGAGAGTAAGGAAAAACAAAAGCTGTGATCTATTCCAACAACATTCAAGAGTGGAAATTCATTCTTCCAAAAAATGTTTTTCAGTAGTAAGGATGCTTTTCAATTACTAAACAAAGCCAAGGGAAATCAATCAATTTATTCTAAGAGAAGACCGCAACTTATTTTACTTTTGAAAGCTTTGTCTGCACTACATAATAACATGAAAAAAAAATAAAATAAAAAAAACTTACGCTAAGCCACTAAGCTTGAATTTAAAGCTGGGAATCTTATTTAAACTAAAAATGTTCGAGAAAACGTTTTCAGCTATGCCGCTATTGAAAAGGAATAGTGGGTTAAATTACAAGCATGTGTGTTCTTTCTCTCTGCTACTTGCCCATATCTGTTGGAAAGGAATGGAGGTTGCCTAAGAGAATCCAGCCTCCCCTGTCACAAGAATCCGTCTATTTCTTATTTGCCGAGGTTTACTCATATTAAAGAGTGAAACATTGAAAGTTTAATTCCCCCATATCAGCTTCTTTTCCCTAACCTTTTCAAGTACTGAAAACTTAGTAAATCAACAACTTTGTTCCATTTACTATAGACTTTTACAAAGAATAAAAACAAAATAGCTGTCTTTTTACTAAGATGGCTAAAGCTATTAATAAGGCTAAATTGATTCTGTCCTATGCAACATTATTGTATATTCCTAAAATTAATGACTGCAACCATCACACAGCAACTGCATAAACAAATACGATTATGCGAATCAACCTATGAATCGACACAAAGACCCATCAACAAATTATCACAAAAAAAGGGCGAGTACACTAACCAATGCCCGGATTTTCTCTCAAGCCAAGCTTCATTGCAGACGGTCTCCGCCACACTCCATCAAGAGGTTCTTCCCCATCTGCATACAAATTCATTTCCACATCTCTTTCATCTCTCCCATCAATTATCTTCGGCTCCACCGCCGAAGAAACTGCTGTGACTCCGTGCACATTCCCACTCCCATTCCCACCCCCATTCCCATCCCCATTCCTATTTGCATTCCCACCATCTCTTCTCTCACCATCTGAAGCGCCCAAAACAGGCACATTCCCAATCCTCCTCTTACCCTCAGCCCTCACTGCTTCATCACCCTCACTCGTCACCCCTCCATGTCCAGCCCCGGCATCCGGCTCAATCTCAACCCCTTTACTCGGTTTAGTGCGACCCAGAACCGGGTCGATCTCGATTTTCGGAGAGGACCCGCCGCCCCGCCTCCTATCAACACCCCTGTCCAAACCGAACACAGCACTATCATTCCTCTCACTGCCACTGGCAGCCGTCTCCCCTGAGAAAGTAGAGACGAATCCGGTTCTTTTGGCCCAGGATTTCAGCTCTCTCGGACTGTGATCCCTCCTCGGCACAAAGGCCGAGATCTTGGGTTCAACAGAGCCGATTGCAGCTCCACCCCTCGGACCCCTCCCCCTCTCGGCCTTGGCCAGTGATTCGGAGCCCGACCCAGGTTCCATTTGAGCTTGTTCTCAATTGGGTCCAAGTTTTTTTAACCAAATGGAGCTCCAAAATCAAAGAAAAGAGAAAGCTTTGCCTCAGTTACTCGCCGGAGAAGAACACCAACTAAAAAACCAGAAAACAGAAAATATTAAATTGGAAAAAGCTAGAGGGAGAGTGAAAGCAAAGCAAGAAAAAATTATTATGTTGATGTGTGAAATTGAAAAATCTGAACTGTAATGATGAATTGGTGATCAGGTCGGCTGGTGATTGAGATTAGTATGTGAGTGAGTGAGGATTTGATTTGAGCATCTTATTACCGCTTTTGGACGTACTTTGCCGCTCGCTAGTTGCTTTCAGTTGAAGGTTTTTCTTTTTTGCTGGAATTACTGGAACGCCCCTTTTTTTCTGGCCGTTAGAAAGAAAATGCCATTTCAAACTGTCATTTTCTTATGCCAATGTAGTACCCTCGTTTGGATTTCGTATCGGTCAACAATTGTCAATTATCTTCAACAGCGGACTACCGACCAAAGCTTCATGTAGACGTGTCAGCGGTTTATTACTAATCACTAAGTTATTTGTTTTTATATGCACAAAATGTAAAGTGTGAGGGTTCGGTTATAAAATGTTTGGGTTTGCTATAATTAGAGGTGGAATTATTCAATATAATTCATAATTAATTTTGTTGATTTTCTCATGTAGGTATTACTCAATACACCTCTCAACAAATGGAATCACCAGATAGTATATCACACATGTAACTAATTTCACATTGGTTGTTCAAGTGTGGAACAAGGAAAGGTTATAAGTCAGATAAATCAACAAAGGCAAAGTAGACCCAATTTGAGTCCAATCAAATGACTCGATCTGATAACATGTTAAATTGTTCGAAGAGACGGCCAAGCGACAGACCCACATATGCGATTCCGTGGGTGTGGTGTTTTATAACAAAAAGATCTTGTACAATTGGGATTAAAACCATTTAATATAAACAGCATGTCATTTCATGTTTCTTGTGTGTAACTCATTATTCAACACTCACTCGTGTGGAACCACGTCATAGGCCACACATGAATCCACTCCACAGAGGGTTAGTCAAGCTACACACATGAATATTGTATACTTGGTATCGAGTCAATAATTTGCGTCCAATTGATGCCTATATTAGAAAGTATGTGACAAAGAATAAATGGTAGAGTAAAATGAAGAGCAACTTGACAAACGAAAAAGGAAATTCTATTTGACCGCATTATTTATCTCTCTGCACTCAACTTAAAAATTAGATATGCATTTTCTAATTTATTGTAATATGAAATAATTATTAAAGACAAATGCGTATAAGATTAAAAAAAAGTCTCTGTTTTTTTCCAAAAAAATTGGGATAAAACACATTTTGATAAAATTCATGTTAATACAGGGTCCTTTTCCGATCCCTAAGAACAATACATGCCCAAGAGAAGGCCTGACTAAGGCCTAGGGAAAGCAAATATTGAAGGAAGACCCCAAAGGCCCACAAGGATAGAAAGGGATCTCGTTGAGCATTATTGCCGATCGCCACCAGCTCGGCTCGACTAGGTTGCATAAACTACTTTCCGACTGACATGAGTACGTGGATGGACTGACAACTTTATAGGACAAGGCTCAAGGATCATGCCTATTCAATCGTCAACTCACGGCACGTAACAATCATCACTCAATGTCAAAGTCTATGATGGGATGTAGGTGTGAAGGGAACGATACTCGGTCGGGCATAATTGGGTAATCGAGCTGAAGCAAGTCGCTTGGCTCCCATCACTCATAGAAGGATGCACACCCGAATGTGCAACTGTCACTTCATCGCTAAATAATTGACTAATGGATTAGAGCAGCACTCGTCATGTGGTGCTCTACATGAAGCGCTAGGCAAACTACCTGGGGGATACTCTACAAACGACCGCTTCCCAAGAAACTCTACAACTAGACTACCATTAAATGAAATCACGTTAACCAAGATAAGATATTTATTAGACTAGATATTTATTGGGTGAATAGGAGGAGGCCATGTCACCTTCTCTTTGAGGGCACACATTAGAAAAATGTGGTTATTTGCCTATTTAAGGGGAGTGAGGCAGAGGGAGAAGGGGTTGGTAGAGTTGGGGTGAAATGGGGGCATTTGCTCCACCGCTTCACCAGGCTAACTAAGGATTTTGAGCCACTTTGTATGTAACTCCGTTTATGGGTGAATCATCATATATCCTTGTGTAACTATTTAGCCTAGTATTTCACATTTTGTGTGCCAAGCCCACCAAGAGCTCAACATCTTTGATTTTTTTTCGTCCAAAATCTATGAGCATCCACCCAGATTCGTCCGGGTTTGACCTACAAATTTTGAACGTTAACAATCCATATTGCAAATCCTAATCAAGAACTATCAGAATTGAGACCCTTAATTCATGCAAAACCTAATGGAGAAGTTGCTTCCTTGGATTGAAGAAACCAACGTGATCACATGCTGACATTTTGTTTTGATGGCATGCTTATCTTAAACAAAGTGGAGCAGAAACTTTAGACCACTGCATCCATTAGTATCATTTCTTGGGACGAAATGAAACTAATCAAACACTAATGAAAGGAAGATTAACATAAACACTGATGATGATGGTGATGATAATATCAACGAGAAAAAATCGGAAATTATAATGACTCCATTATATTTTATGAGAGATTGAGATTCATGGACTTTTGGGTTTGTGCATCCAAAAATGTAGGGCTGTAACATTTATATGTTTTTCCTTTGTTTGGTTGGGTGTAGAAAAAGAAACAAGAGAATCAATGTGAGACGTGGGATCATAGTGATTGAAGGTATTTAAGGGTTTAGGGAGATTATTTATTTATTTATTTATTTAACAAACGATATTATCTATTTAAGGGGGAGGGAGTGGGCTAAACCTCACAATGGGCTAGCAATAATGTGGTTCGAATTCGCCTTTGGCGAGAATCGAACCTAAGACCTCTCACTTTAAAATGAAGAGGAATACCACTAGGAGAAATGTTGGGTTCAAATATAATCTCCCCCAAAACAATGTAAACATTGGGTGTAGAGTGAATTATTTCACTTTCGAGGTCAAAAACTGCGCTTTTAGTTTTGAGTGTATTGTGAAATTTTCTTTTGTGTTTCGAGGGTATTTGGAAATTTTCTTTTGTTCTCAAATTTATTTTTCTTCTCTTTTAGTAAGAATTCCTATTCCTTGCAGTGACATTCATAGCTTAAAAGCGATTAAAGATGTTACTAGTGAATGTTACTTTTAAGTTAAAGACAATTAAAAGATGGCTTTTCTGTTTGTTGGAATTATAAGATAACTCACTCAACCTTTGGTTCGAGGCTTTATACACATAATTAAAAGTTAGTTTGTGGACTACCACAAGAGATCAATTGCTGGATCTCTTCACTACTGTTTGGATACTTTTATTTCAGTTATAATAATCAAAGAATAATCCCCAAGTCTATTTCTCCATTATTTTGCTTCTTTTCACTTTTAAATGAATCTACGCCAGAGATTAGAGAAAATAATGAAGGAATATAGTAGTAAATGATGCTTTATTGCACTAGTGAAAAACAATTATGCTCATGCATTGTGGTGGGGTTCGATCTCCACATATTCTTTTCTTAATAACTAAGTATTTAACCCACTAACGCTATCACTCTATTAGTCAAGATCTCAAGTCTGTCTCATTGCTAGTTGCTAGGCAAATTCAAAAGAAACTTAGCTTGTAAGAAAACTCAGAGGAGTGAAAAATACTTTTCGTTTCATTCACTTGATAATTCAATGTACACATTTGACCCTAACATTTACAGCTAATTACAAGAAAACCCTTGACTAACTCACTCCAACTATACAAGAACCATTAGACTCTTTACACCCCCATCCCTTCAAGCTGAAACTTGATGCATGAAATGTTCCAAGAGGAAGCTTGGACTGTAGGAAACTAAATCTTTGCTTGGACAAAGATTTTGTGTGTATATAAGCTATTTGGTCTTGACCGTAAAAAGACAATCTCCTCGTCCTGTAATTATCGTCTAACCCGAAAGAAATTGGGTCCTTTTGCTTTGCTTAATTATTGTCAAAGCAATGGAGACACTTATCGTGAAATATAAGTAAGGTAGTAGATAAGATAAAGACGTTTTTGTAAGATTCCACATCTTCGTTTTTCTTTCCTTAATAAGTGATTGGCCTACCAAAAAGTTATTTTGGCCAACAAGAGCTACCATATATAATTGTTCTTTCGGGAACATTCTACAAAATTAGAACGATGCAATGAAGATTAGTATGACTATTGTGCAAGGATGACATGAGTTAGCATATAATCAATTATTACCGACAATGCCATGAAATTCCATTCATGATCAGCAGTTGAACTTTGATTTTTAGAAGACAAAAATAGGACATTTTCTTTATTTTGGGGATAGAAATAGGACAATTCAGTCATGTACAAGCCATGCACAAAACTGAAATTCCTAAAATATCCATATATAAATACTAAAAATTATCAACTCATTTCATCACTTTTCTCATTTGGAAGAGAGGGATGTCGAGAGAGCTCTATGAACTCTAAGTTTCTGAGTTGAGCTCAGATTTCAAAGAGAGGGAAGTCCAAAGAGAGGTGAGAAGAGTGAGCTCGGTTTTGGGTTGACCTCATACCTCTGATTTTGAACAAAGGGATGCGAGAGAGAGGTGAGAAAAGTGAGCTGGGCTTTGTACCAAATTTCCTATTTTGGCCAGAAGGTTTCATTTTTTTCGGCAATTGAAGCTTCGACAAGCATAGTAAGGTAGGGTGTTTAGTTTCAAGTTTCTACATCAATTATTTAGGGAATAAATGGGTTGTTTGTAAGATGACTTTATACGTAGAAGTTAAATTAGGGTTTGAGTTTCATGTTGGGGCCTATGGGTTGTAGAATAAACTTTACTTTTTGACGTGCTAAAAACTGGGATAGAACAATTTCTGGTTCAAGTGTTTAATTGTAGAAATTTGTGAAAATTTTTCCATAATGTGCATGTGGTGTGCATGGCTACAACTTAATATGAGAAGCAAAAATGTTCACTAGTTATAATGCACATATGTTGGGCCTCAAAATTTAGCGAGTATGACAACCTAGTTGGCATCGGCCAAAAAAAAAAAAAGCTTAAAGGACGTTAAGGGTCATGCATGTCTATGAAATAACGACAACAAGTATCATGTTTTCCATGTGCACGGTTAAGTGGTGGTTGATATACGTAATAAGACTTTTCAAACTACCACTGTTACCTTATATACGTACCAATTATGTTTTAATTGCATCGACTATACCAATAGGTTGCCATTAAAGTTTATTATCAATGCAAAAAACAACTCATTGCACGATCTTCGATTATGTGCATATCATGTGCATGTACTGTACATATATATGGTGTGCATGTGGTGTGCATACAGTGTATATAGTGGTGACGTCATCTTTCTAATATAAAAAAGAGAGATGTGAGCTTTGGATTTTTGGGTTGGCTCAGATCTGTGAGCATATCATATGCATGTTGTGCACATGTCATGTGCATGTCAAAAAGAGATGATTTTTAATGGGATTTCTAGAATCTAGGTTTAGGTCAAAGATTTGTAAACTACAGATCTCTAAGGGATTTCCAGAATCTAGGCCCCCATATATCCCCCAATGTTGTTAATTGCACTATGCATGTCCACAACAAAACCGACGTTGTTACACGTATTGGTATAGATAATAAATTTGGGATTTTCTTCAAACTTAGAGGGAGAATGCATTCATCGGCGGAGGGGAGAGAGAGAGAGAGATAGAGAGAGATTGCAGCAGAAAAAATGGTGTCTTTAGTTTTTCATAATGGATTTTCTTCAACATCTAAAATTTTTTGGACTGCATGTTGGTTTTGACCTATATGATTTTGAATGAGATTTCAAATTTGGGGAAGAAGATGTTGATTTGAGGAAGAAATCCGAATCTACAACTACAACCACAGACTATGTTCGTTTCCCAAAATGACAAATTAGCAAACACAAACAACCTCCAAATAAATCAAAATTTCCAATTGAGTTTTCCATTATCTTTCACTAATCTAAGAACATCCAATAAATATCAATTTTAAAGAGAGGGAGGGAGGGAGATAGAGAGAGAGAGAGAGAGTAGAGAGAAAGAAATCATAAAATGGGAGAAAATAACTCATTTATATACGAGGGCAATTTAATCATTTCAAGGTGTAGGAAAAATCATATTTTTGTCCAATTGTTATGCATGACATGTGCATATTCAAAGAATCATATTTCTGTCCCAAGATTAAGATTATGTCCTATTTTATTTTCCTATAGATTTAGATTGTTAGATCCAATTTTCTCAAAGTTTGAAAACCCATTCTTGGTTGCACTTCTATGGCACTAGGCTCCATGATAACAATATATGTGTTCCATATGAATTGAGAATTAAGAAGATTGCTACTTTTGTAGTAAATCCAAAAACTGATAAGAAACTATCTAACAATAAATAAGGCGAGTAAAACCTAACCATATTCAAGGCCAGTAGGTTTCGAACTACCAGTAAAAGGGCTAAAAGCGTTATTTACTTTATTTTTAAAATACGGATATTTATAAATAAGGATAGGGTGATAAATTATTCTCATACTCTCTCTTTCTTCTGCCAGGACCAGCGAGTATGTGAGTGTAGCAAAATATCCAGCTGCTACGCGTGAGGCAGTAATTATTCTTATGCTCATCATTCACAAGATTCGAACTTGAAATCTTTCATTTATAAATAAAGAGAAATACCAATAATTGTCATACTAAATGATTAAAAATATTTTTGACAACCAAAAGTACATGTGAATGCGTTTGGCATAAACAGTTTGTATTTCTAAATCATAGAAGCATTTTACTTATTTAAGAAAAAAAATTTCAAATAATTTTTAAGAAGCACTTTTTATATTTTTGTTTTATTTTTATTTTTAAGAAGAGTATGATATTTCATTCATGGATAAGAAGGGCATTACAAATACATATCATAAGGAACTCATCCCAAAAGGGTCCTTGCAAACTAGATCTAAAAATATTACAATAAAGCATCACAAAACAATGAGTAGACTTCAAACATTCATATGAGCTCATTGGGAGCAACACTATTACACTTATCAATAACTGTTAAACTTCATGTTACTGGGAGATCAAGTGAGATCAATATCTCAAACATAAATTGGGACAAGGAGTATGTCCATAGGTCGATCACATCACCTAATCACCGCCACGATCCCAAACACCAAATAAAGTAGATCCAGCAAATCAACACCTCCACCCTTCACACATAGATCCAAAAGAGGAAGCACACCAAAATGAAAATTAAAATCAAGCACTCTCCTAGAGAGAGCAATCATACTAGCAAACTCTCCAGATAGAGAAATCAAACTAAACTCCAAGAAAATTCCTACAAATTACTAAACATAAACAAAATGAAAGGACAAAATCATGTCGCCGCTCCACATCCTTCAAACATCCAAAAGTTGCCTCATTGCACCAGCTAAACCCAAAATGTCGTACTAACTAAACTCAATCCCGACGCAATTTGACATCTTACATGGCTTATTGCTTCAAACCTATATTGAAGGTGATAACTTGATCCAAAAACCTTGTGATAGCTGTGTGTGTTGGCCAAAAGATGACTACAGCGTTTCACATGACAATTCAACACCAAATAGGGTAACGGAAAGTGAGAGAGAAGAGACGAAAAATGATTTTCAAGAGGATTGCTGTTGACCCCAAAACCAAAGACAGGAGCTGCGGCAAATAATTTTTCCTATAATTTTAAGTAGCACTTAAACTTTGAATAAAAATTACAAATCCTATTTTTAATAGAACTTAACACAATCTGATGTGTATTTCTACGTTTGTGCTTCATAAACCATATACATTTTTTTGTTTGAAAAGGAATATAAACTTTTTTCGTAGTTGCCACTTAGTATTACAGTCTAATTGTCACATCCCAACCCTCAGCTCCAGTGATATTGTCCGCTTTGGCATTCTCTGCCCGCAGACAGAGCTACCGCACGGTTTTGTTTCTGCGGACCGGTACTCAGCCGTAGCCAGCGCCTGCCCTCCCCTCAGGGAGTCCGCAAAAGGCCTCACTGAAACTTAAGGTTGGCAATGGATATATAAGGCCCAAAGACCACGCCCTCACGGGCGATGTGGGATACTACAATCCACCCCCCTTAGGGAGCCCGACGTCCTCGTCGGCACACCACGACCGTGAGTCTGGCTCTGATACCAAATTGTCACATCCCAACCCTCAGCTCCAGTGATATTGTCCGCTTTGGCATTCTCTGCCCGCAGACAGAGCTACCGCACGGTTTTGTTTCTGCGGACCGGTACTCAGCCGTAGCCAGCGCCTGCCCTCCCCTCAGGGAGTCCGCAAAAGGCCTCACTGAAACTTAAGGTTGGCAATGGATATATAAGGCCCAAAGACCACGCCCTCACGGGCGATGTGGGATACTACACTAATTGTATTCATTCTCACTTATAAATGAAAGATTTTATATTCTCTCTATTAGAGGAGATAATAACATTTGTTTATAAAAATAAATAAATAAATAAATAAATAAAAACTACATTCGTAGTTGACCAAATCAAACACAGGAAGAGTACAAAGTCAAAATTGACTCTCAAAAACCCTAACGGCCATTCCCAAAACCCCTTTAACGGAACTCCAACCTTTCCCGTCCTTCTGCTTCGGCTACAATTTTTCACATCTATCAGTATCGCTTTTGTATCTCAGCTATTTTGCCTCTCGGAAGTATCAATTTCGTTAATTTTAACAGCCAAAGACAATGGAAATTGACAGAGTCGACGGACGCACGCCAAACCAGTTGAGACCCTTGGCTTGTTCTCGCGGCGTCCTCTACCGCGCTCACGGCTCTGCAAGTTGGACTCAAGGTTCTTACTTCACTTCAAATCCACATACATTTTCTGTATTTTCAATGTGGCCATTAGCTGAAATGATGAGATTTTCAGTATGTCGTCAAACATTTGATTGTTAATTTTGATAAATTGAGCGATTGAGATTTGATTTCTGGTTATTTTGGCTAAAATATGAAATTTCATCTTCTTATCGGTGCTTTTGATTGACATTGGTATTTATGTTTAGGTTTGTTTTGTTGGTTTTGATAGGAGATACGAAAGTTCTGGCTGCAGTTTATGGACCTAAAGCAGGAACAAAGAAGAATGAAAATCCCGAAAAAGCTTGCATTGAGGTTATTTGGAAACCTAAAACAGGCCAGAGTGGTGAGTTTTTGCCGCTACTATACTTACTCTTATTGCTCTGGACTGGACAATGGGTACGTAGAGTGGGCGCGAATCCTGTTATTTCCGTCTATTTTGAACGTTTTTTGCATTATATAGGAAAATTGGAGAGGGAATATGAGATGATATTGAAGAGAACCTTGCAAAGCATCTGCATACTGACTCTAAACCCAAATACCACAACCTCGGTCATTGTTCAGGTGAGGCAATTTTATTAATGAAAAACTTCGTGTCTGAATCTTAGGCGTTGTTTTGCAGAGTCAAGTAGTGGATCACTTTAAGGATAGGTCAAAGTTTAGGAGTTTTAAGGGGCTTGTGGTGGTAAATATGGGCATTGGCCCTTTTACATAGACAGGTAAAAGTTTCCAGGAAGTGTAACTGTGGTTTGGCTTTTGAGCTTGTGCGTGGAAATGCATCTGTCGATTATAAGTTGTGCATTATGTAGGGCCTGCTTGGTATCCTTCTTGGATCCAATTTTGTTGTTTTCAAAAATGATGAATGTAGCTAACTTACTTAGTACTCATTAGTTTCAAAACCAAAAATTGGATTCAAGCAGGATACCAAACAACCTGGTGGTGGTAGTTTTTCCAACCCGTAAGATGAATTGTTATGTAAAACCAGTATACTTAGTGTAGTCTCCCTTTTCTAAATGCCGATTTTGTTTGAAGTTATGTCCATCTAGTAATATAGTTTCCCATCTCTTATGTATCTTCATGTATGCGAATTGACCTTCTTATATGCACAGTAACTGAGTCACTGAATACTTCTTCAGTTTCCTTGGGTTATGTGTTATTAACTTGTTTACAACTATGGTTAAGTAATCATCCTTTTATTTAAAAACATTATGTTTCTGCTGCAGGTTGTCAATGATGATGGTTCTGTATCCTTCAGTGTTTTTCATTTTCTGTACCTTAGAAGTTTAGCAAATTTAATAGGCTAATTGGGAGCTCCAGTTTGACATTCATTGAATGTCCTTATTTCCAGTGTATTCTTTCATTATTTCTGTTTGGCCCCGGAAAAATAAATATCTTTATATAACCTTGCGGGGTGCTGGTAGTGCCGTTATTCTCTGTGTGTTACATAAAGTTCCATACTGCACAAGGGACAAGTATTTTTTTTCGGTGGTGAATAACCTCTAGGCATTTAGATATCATGTTTGACATTTTCACATATCCAAGAATGTGTTAGCTACACCCTTGTTTGTTATCTTCTTTTACATGTTGATACAAGTAGAAGTACCTTAACAACTACTTGTGTAGCTTCTGCCATGTGCCATAAATGCAGCGTGTGCTGCCCTTGTTGATGCTGGGGCTCCTCTAAAACATCTTGCTGGTAAATGAGACCTATGTTTTGGTCTTCTATCCTACGTTTGATGAATATGTCCTGAGATGTTTTTATGCTTTTTGCAGTTGCTATATGTTGTTGCCTGGCAGAGAGCGGATACGTCATATTGGACCCCAGCAAGCTGGAAGAGCAGGTTTTTCTTCGTTCATATCTCTGTAAACATCTAATTGCATTTTAGATTATACTCCAAAATTCTATGGCTTCTTTAAGCAATAAAAGGGGGGGTCGATTCACACATGCATGCCTACATTACATCTGCAGAGCTGTAGTTTTGCTTTGTGCCAAGAAATGCTTGGTGTTGTTGGACTAAAGATAACGGGCACCATGCTGTAATCTTACTGGAGTTATAGAAGTCGAGTTGTTTTCATATCTAAATGTGTGCACGCAATAAATGTAATTATGAGTATAAGTTGAACCTATGTCTTACTCCAACCTCAACCCCCTGAACGTGGTGAGCCAAGAGTAAGGGGCATTCTTTGACGACACATCAATCTCCGTATGTGAGATGTTTGAGTTTGTGTGTATTTGTTATTCTCTATGTTGGTAATTCCTTGAACTATGACTCGCTACGCCTCCAACCCATACCTTACCTGGTGAGCCAAGGGAGTCACATTCTTTGGCACTACATAATTCTCCATCCTTAATGGGGTTTGAATTTGTGACGCAGAATATGAAGGCGTTTGCATATTTGGTCTTCCCAAACGCTCTCACAACCCTTCCAGAAGGAGGATTACGGGTGGGAGGTGAACCCATGGAGCATGGGATCATCACCTCGGTTACCCAGGGTGCAATGTCAGGTGTTTACCGCTCTTCATCTCCCCTTTCTAATCTATCGATATAGGAAATTTCCAGGTGTTTGATGCTATTTTGGTTGTGTTGGTAAGATTTACGATGCTTGATCTAATCGGGTTCTCACTCTATATTTTTCCAGTGGACGACTATCTTCACAGTTTAGAACGAGGGCGCGCCGCCACTGCAAAGATGTCGGCATTTCTCCAAAAGAGCTTGCAACCACTGCTTTCAGATGATTAAATCTAAATCTGGGAGATATCGCACAGCGCACAGCGTAAACGTTTCTGTAGCTAGATTTCGCAGCTCTACTCGATTAACATGAACCATACATACAATATTTCTTGTACTCCACTGTATCAGAACCTCAGATCAATGTAAAACGGTAACTTTCAATGTAGCCCTTTGGTTAATTTTGGAAGATCAAAACTGTTCCTGCGGTTATAATACAGCGGTAATTACTCTGTCAAAAGCACCATTAGCAGAATAGCACATGATTAATTTCGAATTATCAGCATTCCATTGATGGTAATTTGGTATAATACATGCATAAAAGGGCCGGATAATAAATTCAGACCCGTTAAATTAACCCCCCAAAGAGGTTGTAGAATTACAATGGAAGGCACATCAAGTGTTAAAAATTATGATTTTTTATTATTTCCCTGACGAGAGGGGAGAGGGAGAGAAGAGAGGAGGCGAGATTCGTTTTCCTGTCGCTCGCGGAAGCGTCGTTTGAGGAACGTTTCGAGGATCTCCATGACGGAGACGAACCGTTTCATGTCGTCCAATCGGCGGCTGAGCTCCGCCTCACGAGCCCTGGCTCGCTCCAGCCGCGCCTCCGTCTGGGCAAGGCGGCCGAGAAGATCTGCGACCACCACCGCGTTCTCGTTCGGCTGTCGGACGGGGCGTGGTGGAGTCGGGGTGTCTCTGGAGAGGGGTGTTTGCTGACCGTAACACATGATTTGATTGATGAATGAATGTTCGGGAATTTTGCGGATAAGGGGAGACTGAAGATTTTTGAGTTCGTTTTAGGGATTAAGGAAACTTGATATAACCCTAATTTTTTGATCCAATAGTACGAATTGTAATTTATTAAAATAAATTTAATTTAATTTTTTTAATTTATTTTAGAGTAATTTTGTGAAAAATCAATAAAAAGTTACAATATAATGTTAATTATAAATAAGTTAATTATTGTGATACTTAAATGCATTTAAAATAAACAAAATTATAAAATCTGCAACTACAGCCGACACTTACTTCAACTAACACTCTCTTTCTTATAGTTTTATATTTAGAATAAGTCGATACGGATCAGACACTACATGCAGTGTCTTCTTGATTCTGTTTTTTACATTTGGATTCAGACACTGAGTTGCAGTGTCCATTTATTGGTTTCGTTTTTTTCATCACTCACACGCCTCCTACACGTTCCTTTGTACATTTAGATTCAAACATTGCAATGCAGTGTCCGTTTCCTGATTTTGTTTTTCACTTTGGATTCAAACGCTACGTTATAGTGTCCGTTTCCTAGTTCTATTTTTTCCATCACTCATACGTCTCCTACACTTCGCACCTCACGTGACTCCTGATTTTACATTTAGATTCAAACACTGTAATGCAATGTCCATTTTCTAGCTCTGTTTTTTACATTTATATTTTGAAACTATAATGCAGTGTCCGTTTCTTGGTTCTGTTTTTTCACAATTAGGTTCGAACACTGCAATGTAGTGTCCGTTTCCTGGTTTTGTATTTTTTTTACATTTGGATTTGAACACTGCAATGCATCGTCCGTTTCCTGGTGCCTTTTTTTTTTTTGGCTTGAGTAGACTCCTTCCTGTAAACGTAAGGCAAGAGAGAGTGATAGAATATACATATTCTAACTATTTATTGGATTCAGATCCTCTCAAGATCAATTCTATAGGAATAGAAATCCAACGGCCTAATCCTCTTCCCCCGCCTCTCTTCCCCCTCAACTCCTATTTCTTCCTCGCACCTCCATACCCCATCGTTGTTAACAAACCCCAAATTCAATTGCAGATCATTTGTGTTCTAAGTCTAATTTGTTTTTTCACTACACTTTACTATTTTAGTTTTTTATTTGTCATCTCTTTCTTCTTCTTCATCTTTGAGATTTCTCTCACTCTAATTCTTTCATAGTTATGCAAAAGATCTTTGCAACAAAAAAACATTGGTTTGCACGACCCCTCTCTTTGTTGTTTCATTAACATCACCTGAGATTTTAAGGTCAAGGGACTTGCAACTAAGGGATGTGGTTGTGGTGGGGTTGATTTTGGAGAGGGTAAAGTGAGAGACTTGCAATTGGTGGTTGTGACTTGTGGGTTGGGTGGGTTTTGGCAGTGTTGGGGCTGATTTTGTGGTGGGGTTGAATTTAATTTGGAATTTGAGGGGTTGGTGGTTCGAGGTTGAGAGCTTCAAAGTGAGGGAGAAAGAGGAGGGTTGAGAGAGAAAAAAAGGAAGGATAAGAGATTTTGGCCATTGGATTTGTATCAATGGATGAGATCCATCGGCCCGGAAGATCTCCACAAATTGATTCGGAGATGATCTAAATCCATATTTATAATAGCTTAAGCCCATATAACATTTATAGAGAGAGAAAGAGAGAGTGAATGTTAGAATAGTCAAATTCTAACTATTTATAAGGACTTAAGGCCTATGTGGCATTCATCATTAACCTATGTCTAATTAATAAAAATATATAATTGATTAAGTCCAAAACAGTCATTGACATATGGCTTAATAGTAAATTTTTTTATTGACCCTTAACTAAATTACCTTTTATTTTATTAATAATTATCTCTTCAGTGATAAGATTTATTATAAAAATTAAATTTCTTCTCAATTATTTTATTATTATTTTTTTGTTATTTCTTCTTCTTGCTCCTGCTTTAAACCCTATTTATAGATTCTATTTTTAATTTTTATAATCAACATATATCACAGGTTAATTATATTTATCTACTTATATAACTGATTCTTTTTTATAATCAACGTAGCACAGACTAATGTGTCTTGCTTGTAGGTTTTTTTATTTTTTGTTTTTAGGTTTCATATCTCACTTATAAGTATAATATACATTCATATATTTGTTACTTGAGTTATGGTAGAATGTTTTGCAGATAAATTTATGTTAATATATTAGTTTTTTTGTTATAAGATATTAATTAGATATTTTGGAGTTGGAAAATGCATATTATTAGAAGATTTTAATTGATATTTAACATTTTTTGAAAATATAAAATGAGGATAAAAGAAATAAAAACATATAATTAGATAAATGGACTTCCTCCTAAAAACACTCTATGTTTTTTGACTTGGATTTAAAAGCCCCTAATTAAAAAAGCTTTAGTCAATTTTTTTTAGTTAAAAATCATATTAAACTTTTATTTAATAAAAATGACTTAAAATTTAATGTAAAGGGACAAAACCATCAGACTCGCATAAAACTAATCGCGAAAGTGGTGTCTACAGATCCCACATGGATTTTTCACATCTTTGCACACCTATGCCCGTAGCCCACATTGACAACCCTTTTTTTTTTTTTTTTATTTATTTTTTATGTGGCAGTTTCTTGTGGCATCCACCTCTCTGTCTCTCCCTCTCTTTCCTCTCTCTTAGAGCATGTCCACCAGTTGGTGGAAGACAAGAGCAAGGGCATGTAAGTTGCCTTTGATATTCATTTTGATAGTACTTGCTTCTGTGTAACTCTACCAGTTTGAAAATTGCAAAGGCAAGAGGAAGTACTATGCACAAATATATATATATATATATATATATATATATTTTTTTTTATGCTTTGAAAATAAAACGATTGTTTAATTCTAATAAATTGTTTCAAATACAAGACAAAAGTATAGTATTACAACAAACATAATTAATTTAGAAAAAAGCAAAAAACTCCTTTAATAATATGACCAACTACAACATGGAAACATTGTTATCATTAATAGCATTTAACCTAGGGGATAAAATGTCGACTATTCACGAGTTAGGGTATGAGTCATATCTTACCTATAGAAATAAATTCAACCAAGATATGGTGGAAAATAAAATTAAAATTATTTGGAACTGATTACACAATACATCGTGTAACAAAATCTTACATAAAATTTATCGAACACGCAGCGGAATAACTATGGTGCAAAAATTAATTCACAACAAGAACTACCAATTAAATAATAATTAAATTGTAACAATTCTTTCAAAGGAAAACTAATGAAAAGGGCTTGAAAATTTTGAATTTTAATGATAAGGACAAAATAAAGGGTAAAGTGAATAAGACAATGATTGACTTTTTAGTGTAAAAATGTGGTTTTTTGTTAAAGTGAACAGTACCATGGACTTTTCGTTAAAACTCCCTTCTTTTAAATGCATGAAATATACGCAAATGAGATGGATGAATGTACTTACTCCCTTTTAACCCCGCTAACACACACGTAAGGCATTCAAGCCTGCACGTCTCATGCCATGCTATTACCACTTGGCTTCGAATACCATAGAATATGAGTTAACTCCCGTTCATCCCTTAAACCTAATTTTTGTAATTAAACTCTTCGTTTCAGCATTTCCCTTGACGCCCAATTATATACTTAAGCCCTTCCCCCGATGCAATCCTCTTAGCAACGATCGTGGCCGCCTTCGGAGCAGCAGGTTTTAGAGGCTCAAATTCAACAGTTTTTTTCTTCCCTTTGGGATAAATCAGATGAATGACAAGTTTTTCTCTCTAGCTGATGCCTGACCCACATAGACCTTAACCTACATCTTTCTCTCCTCAGCATCATGGGCATGTGTCAAGCACAACGCGTCACTCCTAAGTTGTGGCTCCAGCCACGCAATTCATGGCCCATAAAGCCTGGCCTGTGGTCTACGTCACAAGTAAGAAAGATGGCACCCTGCGCATTTTTCTCTCTCGTCATCCATGATATAATAGGCCCAAGCTTGCCTCGTCATACTTGGCCCACGCCAAGCTGAAATCTAAAAAGGCTAGAGCCTCGCGATTTGCCCAGCTCCACGCCTAGTGCGCCGTTCACCTCGCCCACTCATAATCACCTTTGCTCGAGGCATTGAGTAACCTATGGTGAGACCTCAGCTGCCCCACACCATCCAACATGCCTGATTGATCCATGTTAAATTCAGACCCCCAGAAGAAGCTCGAGCCCCGTGGTTCACTCTGCATTGTGCCCTAGTGCCTTAAGTCACAGTCCCAAATGTGCAACTGCCTTTGATTTCAATTGAGTTGAGTAGCCCAAGCAATGGCCTTTGCCATGCCACATTTTCATCCCACACTGAGCCAGCTTCTGGCCTCTACTAGCCGACATGCCGCACCACCCCGACGGCTGCCTCGCGGTAGCATCACCCAACAAGACAAAGAAAATTACCTTTTTCTTACATTGATGCAGCGCGTAGAAGAAGAACAACAATGAGAAACAACTCTTTACAAAGGCAAGAGAAGAAGAGAGCTAGGAGAGGGGAACAAATTTCCTCTAGTTTCTCTCTTCCTTGTTGGAATAAAGATTGTTCTCCAAATTTATTTAATCTCTTGCTTAAGGTAGAATTAAATAGGTATTAAGGGTAATTGGTTTCCTTTTCCTATAAGAGTTTATCTCCAAGTCAAAGAAGGAGATCTACATCAAACTGGGAAACAACTCTACACACCTATGCAGCTTGAGATTTCTACACCTACTGCCATTTTCTTACGTTTAGCCTAGCAGGTGTGGGGGCATTTGTGGAGCTTAAAATAATCCCAAAAATTCTAAAGGCGACATGTGGACTTTTGCTCAAGAAAGACAATATTGCCCTCATTAAATGGGCGGGCTCCTCAGATACTCCAACGCCCAGCTCACACCCCTAAAGGTCCCTGCAGCTGAATACGATTGCCCATAGCTCACCTGCCCTTGGGAAGGAAAAGTCAAAGCATTAAAGATGAGGAGTAATTACCCAAATCCTATATTTAATACATTCCCCATTGAAGATTGATTCCATTCAAGTACGTAATCCTTATTTAAATAAATTATGGATAATTACTCCATTATCTCAAGATATTATTTCCTATTTAATATCTTGATAATATTTCTCCATAAACCTTGGCCAATAGTATGCCACCATGTGTAGGGTAAAACCCTAACACCATGGCCGACCCCTCTTATAAATACCTCTATCTCTACCAAATTTCAGTAAAATTTTGCTCCCTCTAAAAGCCCTAAACACTTACTCTTTTCAAAGAAACTAACTTAGGCATTGGAGATCCATTGGCCTAACCCCCCCTCACCTCACCTTGTGGGCGCGTGAGGCTTAGGTATTTGATCAAAGGTGTTGATTGTTTTGCAAGTGCATTTTTGTCAAGATTGAAGATGGTGGAAATTTGCATCGACACCCGGTGGATATGGTTATGGATAATTCTCGATAGTTAATTTGCGGTTATGGATATGGTTAACTTTTATATTAATGAGGATGAATATAGCATTTCTGTCTCCAAACTGAACCGTTGTTATCCCTACCTATGCCAAACATATAAGGCCCTGGCCCTGCCCATGGGTTGAGGAAATTGGGGCCTATGAGCGAGCCGCCCAGCCCAGTCCAATTTTTTGCTCTTTAATCATTTTCATTTGAATATAAAAACTGCTAATGTTGTCGAATTGAATATAGGAATTTTTACTTTTATTAGTTGTCAGTTACCATTTCAACCATTTAGAAAGAGAAAAAAAAAAAACTACCATTTCAACTATTTAGAAAGAAAAAAAAAACTACCATTTCAATTAAGGTGTTTGATTAATTAATATAGACAATTAAATTGTCGAAGTAATAAAGAACAAGTTAATTTTATTAAAGTTCAAAAGTATTTAAATAGCATCTAGCTATATCAGTCTAGGAGTAGGAACTAGGCTTAAGCGTTGGGCTTAGGCCCGACCAAGGGCATAAAATGTCCTACCAATTTAAAATGGGGCTGGATAAAGCCCGACCCTAAAATTGGATCAGGCTAGCCTGCAACTGAAAAAAGGGTCAGGCTCGAGCAGATCTATCGAGCCTTTACCTTTACAGTTTTGCTCGAAAGTGACGAGTTTGTAATCAATTTATTACTCAATTTTTAGATTAGCAATAATATGATTCAAATTCATCTTTAATGATAAGTAAAAATGAATACTACTACAGCGTAGTACTAAATGACAACCATTTTCAAGTTTTAAAAGGAAAAATAAGGTACTTAAAAGTTAAAACTAAAAAAGGTACCAAATACCAACATAATAAACCCAAAAGCTAAAAACCAAACTTGCTGTTTATCTTTCTCTTCCTCCTTTCGTTTGGAGTTTCTTGGAGTTCCTTTCCCAACTCAAATAAATAGTGCAAGTACGCCAAAAACACAGTTATATAACGTTGTTGTTTCACGACCATTATCCTAGTTGGTCTGAGGTTCTTCTATTCAACTAACTTACCTAAATCAACGGTCCAAAACCCCTTCCTGTTGGCCAATGTTTCTTCACCCCTTTACGTTGACTGGGTGTTGTTCTCACACACGGAGTCCGGAACACGTTTCCTCTCAATTTTCTTGACTCACTTGATTCCTTGTTGGGGTCATTTTTTCTTCATCTGCAGCAAAAGTTTGATCGAAAAGAAAGAACAGAAGAAAAATGGTTCCGCAGACGATTGATTTGTTGAAGGAGCAGCTTCCGGTGCACCAAGAATCTCTGCTGCTCACCGGTCACACCACCACCGGCCTTGTCCTCGTCGACGTCGTTAATGGCTTCTGCACCGTCGGTGCTGGCAATTTGGTAATTTCATTCTTCCCCGTCCTCGCATTTTTTTTTTCCATGATCCAATCTATCAAACACAATAAGATCTTGCTGACATTGGCTAGAGTTTTTTTATGAAGTAGGGACTCCCCCTCCTCGTAGTTTAGATTAGAATATTGTTGGAATAATGAAAACAAAGGAAGGATGAGATTGGATTAGATAACTTACCGGATTCAATTCGGAGGGATAAGTTTTCTTCGCGACTAACCATCTTCTTCGTTCAACTTAGACAACATTTGAAACTTTCCGTTTGTTCATTCCTTTAACTTGCGTTGAATCTGGTGTGTTATCCAATCCAATTCAATCTTAGACACCAAACGAGGCCTATAAGTTTTTGTGCATATCATATTGATGTATGTGGGCATGGCATGTTATATTGAATAGGCACCAAGACAGCCTGATAAACAAATTTCTGAAATGGTGGAAGAGTCAGTCAGACTGGCCAGAGTTTTCTGTGACAAGAAATGGCCTGTTTTTGCTTTCCTTGATTCTCATCACCCTGACATTCCCGAGGATCCTTACCCTCCCCATTGCATTGTTGGAACTGATGAATCAAATCTAGTCCCAGGTACCCTTTTGTTCCTTCTTCGTTTATGTTTTTCGTTCTGTTTTACTTCCCGGTTGTTGCAGTACCTTCTATATAATTTATGGGTTAGCTTAATTCACTTTCTTTGTCTTGATATTTTAGTAGCTCTCTTTTAATTATATAATTACATACACAGCCCTGCAATGGTTGGAGAACGAACCAAACGTGACACTTAGACGTAAAGATTGCATTGATGGGTTTCTAGGATCGATTGAGAAAGATGGCTCAAATATGTTTATTAATTGGGTTCAAAGTAATCAGATCAAAGCGGTAAGCATTTCCCAAACCCCAAAATGTGTTCATCCCCTTGTGATTTGCAGTTTGTATTTGATGTTGACTCGTTTAGTTGGTGCCTTTTGAAGTTCTGTTATCCCTGTCTAATTTTGCTGTTTCTTGTTCTTGTTTTTAAAGATCTTGGTTGTAGGAATATGCACGGATATATGTGTGCTAGACTTCGTATGTACCACTTTGTCTGCAAGAAATCGTCGTTTTCTTGCCCCTCTGGAGGATGTCATTGTGTATTCCCATGGTTGTGCCACTTTTGATATTCCAGTTGAGATTGCAAAAACTGCCGAAGATGTTATAGCTCATCCCCAGGTACTTCAGATAAATCTTTATATTGCTACTCGTTGTCTTGTTCTGATATGTATTTTTGGCTACATAAGATTGAGACAACGCTGAAAATTGAACGTCAAAATGAAATCCGGTAAAGTAAGCAGCAGGTATAAACAAGGCAATTAGAGAAATCCGACTTCTTTCCGCATCTTCTTGCCTTTATTTTTGGGTTTGCTGTGTCAATCAGATATGAATTCTTGGACAAAATACCTATATCTGTCATCTTTGTGTGTTCTACGAGCGGATATTCTTGTTAGGTCAGCAATGAATATATTAAGATGCTAAGTTTTGAAGTGACAGTAGGTAAAGATAATCCCATAATCCCATTATGATCCATCATCAACGGCAGAATGCTAGAATCTACTGCTTGCTATTAAATATTTGTTATTCAAACAACAGAGCTCTTCATGTTTGAAATTTTATTGTCTTTCCAGGAGCTAATGCATCACATAGGCCTTTACATGTCCAAAGGAAGAGGAGCAAAGGTAGTATCAGAAGTGTCATTTGATACAAAAGAGCCATGATCCTATAGATTGGCATTGAGGCCTTCTCTTTCACGAGGGGAGCTGTTTCTAAAGAGTGAAAGGATGTTATCTATATGGTGAGTTGCCTTGATTAGGCAGCTTGAGCGTGGGAGGTTACATTAAAGGTTAGCGAAAAGTGGTGCGTGTTTAGAAATCCCGAGTGCTATATGACTATGGCTTGGTGGCTGGAAGGGTCACGGAATAAAGATTTTAGCATTAGATTTGTGCCCAGTAATGTATAGGAAAGCTTTACATTATTCGCTATAGTTTGCTGAATAATAAGGCGATTGTTTGATCATGTATGGTGTTCGTCCTTATGTTATTACTCTATTATGTGGAACGGAAGCCTGCAGTTTCATGCTTGATAAGTTTCAATTGTAAATGAGCTCGTGTGATTCATTGTGTGTTCATCCGAGTTGTACGAGGAAAGTTTTCTTATCAGCTATGTTTGATAGGGTTTCATCTGATTCTAATATGGAGAAATTTAAAGCATTTGGAAATCCAATGGAACATAATGTATAAAAATTGAAGACCATGATTTAATGGTAATTAGATGGCTTAAATGCTCCTGCTGTTTGATACTTTACAAGCTACAATAATGTATGGTAATTAAATGACATGTTCTCCCCGACAAAAAAAACGAAAGGGAAGGAGACCTAAAAGAAAAGGAAAAAAACCACAGAAATCTGTCGAAATACTGTTCAAAAGTTGAAAAGAAAGCAAAGAAAACAAAACGTCCCCAATGAAACGATCTACAGCTGAGATGATTTAGCTTTTGAATCTTGGTATCTCTTATGCATTGCAGGGGCCACAACGGCGAAGATTGATCGCTTTTGCTTCTTTGGTGCTACGCCAAATATAAATGACTGTAAGGGCACTCGGGAACGACTCTCTGAGTGGGCTAGCTGTGGGGCTGGTTGCTTCTTTGATCCAGCGAGCCTGTAATCCTCATTCAACTTTGCCATACTTTTATCTATCTCAAGTTGGAGTGCGTTCACATGATCCAATCCCGCTTGCAACTCGTCTGCAACCTTGTTATTCTCTTGTTTCATATTTAAAATCTCGCCTTGGAACTTTGCGGCTTGATAGCTTGTAAACTTGAAGTCACCGTCCTCGGCACTTGTCTTCAAAGCCTTTGTTATTTCTTCTTGAATGCTGCACAAAGACTTGAATCTGCACTGCAGCTCGTCTTTCAGTAGTGCACCCTTTTCCAACCAAACATTCAGTTCAGTCTGTATCTCCATTAGGTGCTGGTATATCGGTCGTGCATCTGATTTCATAGAATATTTTGCATGACTACTTCCGTCTTGTTTCTTTCGTTTCTCCTCAAGCTTGGATATCTCAGACTGCAAATCTTCGACGGTTGTTTCGAATTGTTGCACTTGGTGGAATGAAGTGCTAAATTTTAACCAGAAATCCAGGTTCTCCTCCAACAGTTCATCAATGTTCCTACGGAATTTTTCTTCTATTTCCGAAGTTCCCTCAAATTGATTATCCTCTTTCTTATCTGCTGAACTACTCGTTGGGGTCTGCGGGTGATCTAAAGCTTTAAACTCTTCTGAGTCTTTGGTTTTACCTAAACTCTGCAACAGAAGATCCAGTTTCTTATGCAACGATTTAATCTCTTCATCCTTCATGGCACTGGCACTCTTCAATTCTTTCATCTGCACCGATGTTTCAAAGAGGTCGTTCTCTGCTTCACCGAATTTCTTCTTCAGATCCTTGTAGTTCCGAAGTGTTATCGTGTACTGTGTCAATAGAATCTTTTCTTTGTCCTCCATCCCATTCACAAACAATTTCTGCCAGTCTGGCTCATCTTCGTTCCTTGTTGGTTGTTCCTCAACTTCGTTATTAATTTCCGGTGATTCATAAACATCTTTTCCTTGATTTTCAGCAGAAGTACTGAGAGCATCTGCAGGTTTTACAGAACCATGAGCAGGATTTTCTATTTCTTCATGTTCTGTGGACTCTTTTGACGGTCTCCCTTCATCCAGAGATTCTTCATCTTTTTGCTGTGAAACTGTAGCCTTCAGTTCCTTATCTGACTTCGCTTCCTGTACTACCTTGGAGCCAGTGACAGGATTTACAGCATTATTAATTTCCAGGCATTTAGAAACGTCTTTTCCTTGATCCGCGGCAGAAGTACTAAGAGCATCTGTGGCTTTTACAGAACCATCATTCGACTTTTCTATTTCCTTATGTTCTGTGGACTCTTTTAACGGTCTCACTTCAGGTGGAAGTTCTTCATCTTTTTGTAGTGAAACTGTAGGCTTCAGTTCCTCATCTGACTTTGCTTCCTCCAGTACCTTGGATCCAGCGACAGGATGGACCGCATTTTCTTCTCCTTCAAGAGATTTCTGCAACTTGGTTTCCGCAAGAGATTCCTCTTTTGCTTCTGATGAGCCTGTGACCTTGACCTCCTCATCTGGCTTCACGGTTTCCAGTTTATGAGAAATGTGATCGAGATTACAAGTTGCTTCGGTAAAATGTGTCTGAAGGTTGTCATTCTGGTTTTCAACACGCTGGTTAAGATCCTGAACTTGATGCAGCCTTTCCTCCAATTCCTTCAGCTTTTTGCTCAAGTCTTCCTTGTCACCTATGAGAGTAGCCTTGTCACCTCCCAGATTTTTAATCTGTTCATGAATCTCGTCATTTTCGCTTCTTAATCTCTTGACTAGAGCAGTCTGTGATGAAACTGCACTTTCTAAACTGATCACCTTAGTCACGAGCTCGTCAATCTTATCTGCCATTTCCGAAACTGTGAGAGATGAATCGGGTGCAGCGTCATAGTGTTCCTTAATTTTCTCCCGTAATAACTCTAGTTTCTGTCTCTGTTGAGTTGCCTTGGCCACTTCCTGGTCCAAGCTTTTGTCATTTTCTTCATTTACAGATTCATCCTTTGCATTTGGATTTTCCGGATTTGTTTGATCAGGATAAAACTCATTCTTAAGAGTCTCTAAGTTCTTCCTGGCATCCTTAACCCTTTTCGACTCAACCCTTGCTTCCTCAGCTGTACTTTCCTGTTTCGCCTGCAAGTCAACCAATGTATCTTGGCATGACTTCAAAGCAGCAGCTGCCATCAAATTCCGAGCCTCGTTATCTTCAATGACCATACACTCACCAAATTCATCTTGCAAGCTGCATACTTTCTCCTGCATGCCCTTGATTTGGTTCTCGATTGCCCAGAACTTTGCAAGTCCATTCTCATACGAACTTTTTACAAACTCTTTCTCCGTTTGTAGGGACAGAATCTGTTTCTGCGTCTTGTCAATCTCTTCACGTGCCTGAGGTTTGGTCAAGCCGGATTTAGGAACTGTTTTAGCAGACAAGGATTTCATTGATCGCTGAGGCTCCAGCTTATTTTTCGATGTTGTTTTCGTGAGAAGACTCCTTAAATCCTTAGTAGGACCCTTTGGGGGGACCTCTGGGATGCTCCATTTTGAGATATCTGGAGGCCTTCTAGGCATTTTAGGTGAGGGATATTCATCTTCGTCATCCATCGCAAACTGAACTTGTTCCGGGAAAACAGAAGCGATTGTGTTGTTGGCATTTTGTAGCTCTGTTGAAATGTGATCATACCGCTCAGCCAAGGAGCGGTAAGCTCTGTAGGTTTCCTCGACAAATTGTATCAGCTCCGGTCTATTTTTGAAGTACATTTCTGCTCTCTTGGCAAAGGAGTCTCCATCCTCTTGAATGAGTCTAAGTACAGTTTGTACCTTTTCCTCCATATCTGCAATATCCATAACACTGTATATTCAATTTCCAGCAGATAGATGCAACTTCTTTTCGGGTAACCGAAATTATAGTGTACAACTCAAATACAAGAAGATTCGTAATTATTTGGTTCACAGAAAACTCTGGAAGTTCAAGAAACATGCTTATAAATATTATGTTTTGAGAAGATCTGATTCAAGAACAAGAAAAAGTGCAGTATTTTCTGCGAAACCTTCGACGATTAATGGTAAGCCATATTGTTTCAAATAAACCAATATCAAATTAACAGCTTTTTGTTTTTATCAGCTGCAAAATTTGGAAGAAGATTTGATTCGATTGAACTATGAAGTCGTTCATAATTCTCTGAGTTTAGTTTATATTTTATGAACCAAACAAATTGAGTTAAATTTTGTAATAGTGAGTAACTAAGACACATTCTATCTGAATCCATTTAGATCAAAATCCAAAATATGATATGATAGCAATAATGTTTGTGACTCTGAAAATATGGACATAGCCAAATCATCAAAACATAGCCAATAAACAAGAACCTGATAAAGTCGTAAAAAAACCAGAAGATTGGTTAAGAGTGGATACGATTAGGTTATGTTCAGGGTTCGATCCCTCCTCATGGGACCCAAAATAACAGAAATGGGGAGGTAGGTAGGTACCTTGGAGATTCTGCTCGAGCCATTTGGATTGCTTAGTTCTGATGTGGCTGGCCCACCACCATGAATATGCATTGCTTGCAGCTCTCTGCAACATCTTTCTGCTTTCTTCTTCTTCCTCCTCTTCAGACCAAAACCATGCAAACCTTCTTCTCTAAACCAAACACCAACAATATTAACTAACTTAATTATTGTTATTATTATGTTTAATTAGGGAAATTAAAAGAAAAGAAAATACAGACAGACAGACACACATACACACAGAGATGGAGGAAGAACATGCATGGGAACGCGTGCGTGCATGCCCCCAACTTTGGCATTCTTTCTAATACTAGGATCATGGAGGGGAGCAAACCTCGCTCCGAATATTTTGTCAAAGCTCTTCCTTTTTCTGAAAAAAATTAAATTAAATTCAAAGGATACCAAAAATGAAAAATATAAAATAAAGTCCCTCAATAGAAGGAACCCCACTTGGCAGGTTTGCTTTTTCCAGTGGCACCCTTTTACTCTTCATCCTTTTCGTTTTTTTTTTTGAAAAAATTGAAAAACAAAAAAATAAAGTAAGGTTAGAAAGATTAAATTTTTGGGTAAAATTTTATAAACTAAATTATGTGAAAGTTGATGATTGAATTATTACTTAAACGTTGATGCACGTACCCATTTTTTTATTGGTGATACATTATTTGGTTTACAAATTTAGTCTTTCCAACTTTAGTGAAAAAAATAGGGATGTTTTGATATTTGGTTTACAAATTTAGTCTTTCCAACTTTAGTGAAAAAAATAGGGATGTTTTGATATAGGCGCTTTGAAATTCTTAGATTTAACATCCATAGCTTTGAGATTTTTGATTAAACATTCTTATCTAATTTTTAATAACAAAAATTACATATATTTGGTTTACCAATGAAATGACAAATTACTATCACCTAAATCCTAAAATCTAGGAGATATATTATCCCATAATTCATTTCAAATGACACTTTTCATTACTCAAATAAAAAATAACATTAAAATTCTAAAAATACAACTAACATCCTATTAAACATAACGTACCAATTATGCAATGTATTAAGCATAACATACCAATAACTTGGTACATTATATAATCTTAGTTTTGGTACGTATTAATATTTTGGTACATTACAGATTACTAATTTTGGTACGTTATGTTATTTTTGTTTTAGTATGTACCATGGTATTGCTACAATGTGTTAACTTAACTTTGGTATGTAGGTACGTTATGACCCTTAAAAAAGAGAAAATTTTACATATTAAAACTTTGTACTGAAAGTTAATTATATCAAATTCTTAGCGATCAATTATTGGGATAATGACTCAATAAAAAATTTCAAACTTATTTTCTTTCCAAGAATTTAGGGATTTTAGATCTAATCAGTTTCAATATAAATAACTCTTATTTTCATTTTTTTTCCTTTAAAATTTACTTAAAATGATGAGTTGGAATTAAAAAATGACATGGATAAAGATGGAAGTGCCTTAATCAAAATACAAAGCGTTTTAATAAAAAGTTGAAAAGCCACAAATGTTTAATTAATAAGATGTAGAATTGGAGTGCTTTTATCTAATTTTGCCACAAAAAATATGTTATATAGAGAGGATTATCGAATGATCTCATTTATGAACTTATTAAATAGCAGAGTAATGTTGGGGAGATTAAATTTATAGACAAAATTATTACAAGAGTAAACTAGAAATCAAATATAAAGTTGGCTATAGGCTACACTAGATTTTCAAAATCATTGACACTTCTAATGGAAGTATGATTAATCGTATAATGAAGAATTTGTTATGAACTTATGATAAAAATCAAATGTAACTTTTAAAGAATAACTTTTCAGCTGTATCACTTTTAAGATTGCATGTATTAAGATTTTAGAGTTGTTCTGATATTTAACTTTACCAAAATGACATTCATAGTACATACAAAAATATCTCGCTAAAGTTGGCATCAGCTTATACAACTGAAAAAAATTTACCTAATATAGTTAAATTTTTTTAGGATAAAGTATGAATAACTACTCAACCTTTAGAAGTGATTCCAAATTGGTCTCAACCTTACAGTCCAAATAATTGCCTAATACTTTGAGAAATAGGAACCTATTAGGTCATCAACATTAAGTGATCATGTCACTACCATTAATAGACAATGTTATTAATGTTAAGTGATGGTGTGGACAAATATTGAAGCTAATTTTTACTACCACACCATTTTAGAGTTAGTAATCCTCAAATTGATCCCTTTTAGACAAGTTAAACACTAATTTTGTCCTGTTAAAAAGGATCGGGTTGAGAATTTGGAGCTTTATAAATGACGTGAGAGTGAAATCTTGCTCACTTCACGCTGGCATTCTACCAGATGTCCATTTTGGTAAAGCGTTAGGTAGTTATTTGGAATGTTTTAAAAGATTGAGATCAATTTAGGATTACTCCTAAAGGTTGGGTAGTTATATGGACTTAACCCTTTTTTATTATAAACAAAATAATAGTTAATTACTTGTATTTTTTAGTGAATTTTGGTGCAGAAGTTGTGCAAGTAATCTGTAACCGACATTAGATTTTCTTTCTAAAAAAACTTTAAGAAGCAAGCTAAATTTGACAGATGGGCACCCCATTCATAAGAAGGGTGGACCTTATGGTCGAGTTGGATTTAGGCGTCGGTGGAACTTCTCAGCTTCTCTGGTTAGTTTGCGGTACCAAGTTCTAAGATACCTCGAAAGAATTAGCGTGTCTTGGAAGTACCTCAATGGAATCAACAGTTCAAAGACTAAATAATGGCAATAAGTTATGACCTGCCTGAGTAAAGCGTTGCGTGGAAGCTAAAAGCTTATTGGCTTAGAGTGAGAAAGAACTCAGGGCATGCTTGCATGGTTTTAGAAATAGCTAATCTAGGGTTCTTAATATTCTGGAATGTTTGTAGTGGCTAAGGAAATCTATGGGAAACTTGAAGAAATCCTCAGAAGGTTAGGAGAATTTCCTTTTCCAGGATCAAGGTTTCTTGCACTTAGAGAAAAGCTTGTTTTGCCTGGTGCAATCTTTCCTTGCTTCTCTCTCTACGATGCATGTGTTGTTTCCCTCGTTGTCTCTTCTCTTTTGTGCTGACTTCCTTCCAAATTTATAGGCATATGGCTCTTTTAGCTTCCCCTAAGGAATCCCTTGGTTTCCTTAGTTTCTTCCTATTCTTTCTAAGTTTTCATTCTCCTTTTCGTGGGCGCCGCTATGACTTTCCTATTTGGTGTAACATTGAAGAACATTACTAGCCTCGTGAAGACTAGGTTGCGGACACTACCCAGAGCACCATCTTCCATAGTCAATTTCCACAAACTTCTTTTTTAGTACGCTCTTCCTGGTTTTCCTTCCTTGTTTTTCCTGTGTATGCTTAGAAGGCAAAGATCTCTTCTCTCCTCATTAATGTAGTGTGTTGCACTATGTTAATTTGAATGTGATCTTGTAGGTAACTCAGCTTTAATAAGGTTTTGGTTTCTTCTTAAGTATCCTAGTTAGGTTGTAAGGAAAAGCGAAACTTGGTTTTATTCTCCCTCATAATTACCCACATGAAACCAAAAGCTATGGGCTTGGGCTTTTGGTACTCCCAAGTAGCCCAAAGTCTTTCATGATCTTACCTTCACATAGATCCAATTAACTTCCTTACCACCCACACCACAGTTCGCGTTGCAAGCCCCGGTATGTGGCTTGAGCCCACTTTAGTGTGTAGTGTGGTTGGCGTGATTTAATTACAACTTTAGTGTTGTAACATGACTTGGCATTATAAATATATTAAGTATCACATCTTGAGACTATCGCCTAGGCGAGTCTATCCATGAAACATTTTGGCTTCACCCCTCGCTTTTTAAAACATGATAAGTGAGAGAGCTTAGATTCAACTCTTGCAGATAAAGAGTACAATAACAAATTATTATAGTTGACTCATGGTGTGACTTATTTAAAATTTCCCACCTCCTAGTGTACATATATTGTTTAGTGAAAAGAAAAAAAAAAAAAAGGTTATGGGAGAGTGTTTTAGTAGAGGTATTATCAATAAATTGAGATGCAGTAATACCACCACTCAAATTATAGCATTCAACAAAAAACATAATTGGCAACAAATAGAGAGATGCTCAAACTATCATTTTTATAAATCGAAACTTACGATGTATAATTGTATGTTCTCAACACACCTATTCACGTATAAGCGTATAATAATAGCAAGGTTTTGGTTAAATTTTCAACACCAAAATTAGGGAGGTCAAGACCAAAGGGCAAACCACGGTCACCACAATCCAAACACATTCTCTCCTCCACCGAATGAAAGGGGAGTTAATTAAAGGAGCTTTGAACAAAACACTTTGTGCGGAGTCAAAGTGCCACCAATGTACAAACCGCACAAGCTAAAGGCTACTTGCCACTACCAACAACGAATCAATCTGTTCCCCCAATTGCAAGTTGCACATCTCAAAAGACAAAAATACTAAAACCAACACTCAGAGCCTCATCATTGTCACTGCAATCCACAACCACAGAAAAATGCTGCAGTAGGATCAAAGGTACCACACAACTTGACCCTTAAAATGAGCTCTTTTGAAAGCTCAAATTGGAACTTGATTGGAGCTTAGAAGTGTTTTGGTTAATAGAAGTGTTTTCTGCAAAAACCACTTACCACATACTTCTTTAGAAAGCACTTTTCAAGTCAAAATTTTCAATGTGTTAATCATAAAAGTAATTCTAATAAAGCACTCATAAATAGAAATATAGTCCCACGCAATCGACAATGCTTGTTTGACAATGCTTTATTATTAGAAGTGCGTAAACTTTTATGAAAGTTCTAAAAGCACTTTTAACTATTTTAAAAGCGTAACCATTTTAAAGCATTTCCAAACATGAAACTGTTTATTGCAAAATTTAGTTGAGTATTGGCCTTCGCTTAAGAGTTAAAGAGTACGGGGAAATGAGTTACAATAGTAGGGAGCTTAGAGACCACAAACATGATCATATTATTTACAACCCCAAAAAAAGCATTCTCCAAGGATATTTGATAATAGCAGAAGGGTGACAATTAGCATCCAGCATACCGGAAAGCACGAAGTGTCTGCCCACCCGTCCTCAAAATTTAAGGGGCGTCGAAATCATCCACATAAGTCTGATGAATGTTAATCTTCTGTGCTTCTCGGCTCGATTCTACTGGTGCAGGGCGGCCTAATCGCATTCTAAATATTTTCTACTATTATACAAGTATGTAACAGACTTGAGTCTTCGAAAAAAGGATCACACAGAGAAGAACTCATCAAAATAGGGCCAATTTTGAGATATATATATCAGCTTATTTATGCGTCGAAGTTCTGAAGAGAAGAAAGCCACTGTTTCATATAGTTCTTGCAATCTGCATAACCAAAATGCAGATTAGCACAGATGACATAGAGCATAAATTAACAGAAACCTTAGCATATTACACAATTAGAAAAGTTCTAGAATATTTTTCTGGCGTGATGCACACAAAATTTAAGCTATCTAAAGCTATTATAGCGACATGTTTACAGGTGTAAAAGACTAAAGAAGCCAACAAGGAAATTTTATCTTCTTGGAAAAACAGCGGCCCGAAGGGCCAACCAACAAGCAAATTCATTCCTCATGTAAATGAGGAACCACGCAACCCACAACAAACCAAAATAGCAGTAAATCATCTTAAAGCTATTGTGCTCAACATGGTCTCTGTGATTTTGTGCTCATCAACAATCCACAGTTCACTTGGGAAGTTTTCTCATGTGCTTTCACACCATTCGGAATCAGAAAGGTAGGGTCAAAAACCAAGTGTTTCTTCAAGTTTTTGCAAAGGTCATGCAGTCACTCTGCCAACCAGAACAGGTTGTACAGGTAAGGGTTATCAAAGTGGCTGATCAATCAACTTGAAGCTCCAAGAAAATGAGTCCTGCAAATTGCAACCTTTTGGACTAGTCTCCAAAAAACTGGGACATGAGGTCCCAAAAACCATAATATTTTGCACAGAGCAGTGCATTTCCACTTTCCCCCATACACTTTCTGATGGTTTTGAGATTTGCAGCCACAAAGCTCTATACTTTCAGGAAAGGACATCTCCAAAAAACTGGGACATGAGGTCCCAAAAACCATAATATTTTGCACAGAGCAGTGCATTTCCACTTTCCCCCATACACTTTCTGATGGTTTTGAGATTTGCAGCCACAAAGCTCTATACTTTCAGGAAAGGACAAGACTAGGAGGCCTTCATCACTACCTCATTTTGTTAGTAGATACTAACCAAACAATTGCCCTACATCAATTTTTGTTTTACTACAAGCGATATTTCTACTCTAAGCTTATCTAAGGGGAAGGCAAGTGTTTGAACACGAGATGCAGTGGGATGAAGAGGAAGATCCTATCCACCCGATTGCGCAACATAAAAATTAAATTAGCAAGGATGGTGACAGATTGATGTCTGCATAATGACAATAATTGACTCAAAATCCCCAAAATAGAATCACCAAATTGTTTGGTATGTAATGAACAATCCAACCTTATTTATCCCTAAAACAAGTAATCACCGAAAACAAGATTTTGTTTTGTCTAAGAAGCATACAAATATGAATTAACTTAGATTCCCCAACAGTTAGGGTATAAATTAGATTAGAATATCGCTCGAATAAAAAATTACTCAACAGTTTCAATTGGTTAGTGTTTGCAGTCAAATACTCAATCAAAGCAGTAAAAATATAAGAGGAAAATCTCTTACCAGAAGAGAATTCATCAGAGAGGTTCTTGATGGCACTCAAGAGCTCATTGTTGGAATCCTCCACCACCTCCTTGCAGCCAGGGCTGTAGCAAGGGACCAGCACTGCATAACTATTATCCGATTTGTCATCGTCACTCTGGAAACCCGGGCCATGAGGCTCCAACCACCCAATAGACCAGTCCGAGTCATCGGACTCCGACCCTGACAAAATTTCACCACCATCTGATGGTACAATAACAATATCATACTCCCTATCAACCCTCCTCTCTTCCCTACTCAGCCATTTCCTCTTAACCTTTCGCGGTGACGAGGCCATTTTCGTGCCCTTAACGGAAGGGAATTGAACCGCCCCGGGGTCCCTCATACCACCAAAACCACACTCAAAAGAAGAATTCACTGAGGAGCCATTGTTAGCAGGCTCCTTCTCTGTCCCACCCCACCAACACCATGGCAAAGGAGTGAAAGAGACTGCCATTTTTGGGTATCCGAATTTAGAAGAAAGCAAAAAGATGATGGCAAAGAATTGTGGGGAAAAGGAGTAGAAACTAGAAAGCCAGAGAGACTCAAAATTTGAGACCAAGGGAACGGGATGCCCAAATGGTTCCTGCCTGCTGCAGCAGCAACAGCAATCAACTGTATTAGGAAATGATGAATTCAATCCAACAAATCCACTAACCCTTAGCAGTAATTAAGACAAAATAATTAAAAAAAAGGTAAAAACCAATTAACCAAATCTAAAGAGAGCAAAAAGTCATTCATCTTGTTTTCCTCGTACATCAAACAAGACAGAAACTTCAATAATCAAGCCTAAAACTTTCCATTAATAGAAAATTCTCAAGAATCAAGCTCAACTAACACCAACTTGAACCTAATCAAACTCCAATAACACAATGACCCAATTCAAAATATTAAAAAATTACTTCAATTTCCTCTAAATTTCCTCTTTTTTTATTTCCAAAGTTACCCAGAAAACTTCACAGTAAAAACCGGAAAATCAAAGACCCAAATTTTAAGTCCGCAAACTGAAAAATCTTACTTATACAACAAAACCCACCCCAAATGATAGAAAACGAAGACTTGGGTCACGATGTCGAGTACAAAGTCGGGATTTTCGGGACTCCAAAGGGTGAAATCGGTATTTTATTGCCTGGTAAAAAAACCCAAAAAATTATGGCGGTAGACGACGGTGAAGTAACCGTGAAGAAAAATTTCAGAGAAGGAAAAGGAATTAATTGTGCTTTCCCAACCCCGTCATCGCCATCGTCGTCGTCGTCGTCGTCTTCTTCCTCTCACTCTCTCTGTGCTTTCTAAGAAACCACCTGGAAGTGAGATTGTCTACTTCAGTATTTATAAAGAAATCCTCTCAATTATTTATTTGTATTTTTATTTTATTTTGGACTCTATCGTGACACATTCGACGGTCACGATCTAACTTCTCTGTTCATATAGTGCGGCGGAGCATGGATGCTACTGTGCTCCTCCGATCGTTTGGCATCATCTCGAATTATGTGACTAATTAATGGGCTAATGTAAAATTAGGGTGCCTAGTGGGGCAGACTAGCGTCCAAATTTGTTGACGTGGTAGATCCAAGCCCAATCATTGCGCGTGTTTACGGCTCAACTTACCGACACGTGTAACCTATGTCAACCTGTGAGTTAATACTTCCTGGGAAAGATTAAGAAATCACCCTGAAAATGTACGGCGGACTTTGACTCTTTGCATTGAACTATTGAAATTAGAGAAATGGGTACTTTCTTAACGAATAATTCTTCATGAATTCTTGGTTATTTTCTAATTAAAAATTCATCATAAACAAAGGTATTTCACAATTTGAAGTTAATTTTGTATTAAATATTATAAAATATTATGTATAAATATGAGGTGATAGAAAATTTATAGAGAATTTCATTTGGAAATAGTCTCTTTTGAAATTGAAACCCTACCTTAAGAATCAATCTTTGGCTGAATTGGAGCGATGCGTGATAGATTTAGGAAATTCGGATTTTATTTGATGCATCCAGCTATTGCTTAACAATTATTTGTATGCAGAATGAGGTGGATCATGTAGTGTGTACTGTTTTATGGTCAAAATTTTTTTTTTAGGAAAGCTTTTTACAGTTAATCTCACTCAACGAGATAAATTTTTTTGTTGTTGTTGAGAAGCTTTTTAAGATAACGTTTTGGCAAGGCCACTATTGATTCCTCCTCTTGAATGAGTTTTATTCATTCCGGTAGAAAAAAAATTATTTTAGAGAAAATTTGAGTCGTTCTAAACTTGTAAGCCATGGGCCTACAACATCTAAGCATTTCCATCGAGCCGTCAAAAGTTAATCCACCATCAAAACCTTTTGAAAATTCTCATCCTAAACTAAACACATGGCCACTTCCAAGGAAAGAAAACATCTAAGCACACTTTTATCACGTTTTTTTTTATGCAAAATCATTTTGTAATTTGCCCCAGACAAGGAATCTTGGCCGTGAATGCATTTGGTTCATACCATTATTTCATTCAAGAAAGAAACAAAGATTATAGGGATGTTTAATAAGAGATATTTTTTTTGCAACCAAGATATATTTTCGATTGTATCATCTATTTAAGAGATATTTGCTTGAAAAAGTGAATTGCGAGTTCAATAAACGCTTGTTATGTGAAACCGAAATATATTTTCAATTGTATCACCCTTGATATTTGCATGAAAATGTAGACAGCAAGTTCAATGAACGGTTGTCATTGCAATTTGCATGGATCATGACACGATCAGAGACTCTTATGCACAGGCGCCTAATGGGTACAAAAAGGATGAGCAATCCAGTCCAATTTGCACGTTACATGAGAATCAAATATGAAAGGGCCCCACCAAAAGGTTGCCAAGAGAAAAACAGTGCTTTATATACAATACATACGCATGATATAGCTGGTTGTAGCAATTAGTCAATTAAAATTAGACTTTTAAGTTTCAACATATGCAAGGCCAACAATGCTTGGCTTCACAAAATTGTGAAAGAGTTCCTTGTCAAAAAGTTCAGGACATTTCGTGGTAGATCCACGTAAATTTGTGCTTATGCTTGAAATTATTCGTATTATAAATCGCTCTATAAAAATAACATGTGCAAAAAAAATAAAATAAAATTGTTTAGCCAATCAATTGTTGCGAATATATAAACCGATAGAGAGTTTGTAATACTTTTACAAATTCCAACTATCTGTTTTTATATAGTTTCATGACTAAATGAACACAAATTTATTGATTTTTTTAAAGATAATCTTTACAAAGTATTTATATTAATATTATGAACAATTTTGTTCACAAGTACGAAGTTTTTTTGCAAAGGAAAGCATTGACAATCTTTTGTGGAGCCCAGTATTGGTGATTCGTGTACGCAAGCAAAAGCATCTTTGAGTATTGGATACAATACTGTAAGAACAAGAGCCAGCAGCATGTCATGTGGTACAACTTGTGCTGTATGCCGCAAAAAAAGGAAATCAACGAGTTGCTAGTTGCTAGCGGATGCATACAAAATTACCAAACATAATATAAATTGAAATTATGAAATGGACCTTCTTTTGACACCAAAAAGTACACCACATGGTGAATGATCTTATATAGCATTCTTGTTCATACGGATGGCACCACCATGCCACCCACCAACTATAGAAAAATAATTGATAACTAGTTGATTTTTTTTTTTTTTTTAAGAGTGACAACTAGCCATGATTATCATCTTTTTTGGGAGCTAGGAGTTTCTCCTGATCACAAGTCAGGCTTCCACACTAGTAGCGGGTTTCAAACCCAAAACCTCCAATTTTTAGTTTTAAGGAAACCTCATAATCCACCATTTACTACTGAACCATTAGCTTATGGTTATTGACAACTAGTTGATAGGAAAATGCTTTGGGAAAAGAAGAAGGATAATAACAATTTTTGGGTAAACTTAACCCCTAATTTTACTGTTGTCGCATATTTTACTCAAGTGTATATGTATCGAACGCCCATGTTTAGTAAAGCGGTAAAAACACTTTCATATATATATATATATATATATATATATATATATAGACACACACACACTCAGTTGATTCCGCTTTCAATCTGTTTATACCAACTAGATTTTTAAATGGCCTAATCATTGCGCCTATTTTTCCGCATGTGTTTTGAATAGAAACAGGTGCTTGATTATTAATTGGGAAAGAAGGCCTTACTGGTTCTTCAATGTCATCTCACATCATGCGAAAGAAACAGAAGTAAGGAGTTCATAGAGAGAAGGAGATGGATGAGCTGGCCATTACAAGCAGATGCAGAGTCTCCTTCCACTCCAAAACATGCACGAAAACAATCTATGAATAAAGAAAACACGAGAGACTGATTAGTATTGAATTGCATTTTTACTTGATTTGATTAATCATGAGAGCATTTCTATTGAACCACAACGAAAGGAGTGCAGAAATTCACAGTTTTGTTTTTGGGATTAACAAAGAGATTAAGGAATTTTGGTTTTTGGCTTAAACCCTAACGAATTCCACTAAGGATTTAAATCTGATTTTTTTTACTACATGCGCTATTATCTTAATATCATATCATCACGAGAACTATTTATACAATTAAGCCTTTTTAAATTGATCGTTTCTAATTCATCATAAAATTCTCATCTCTGTCTGGTGGGTATGGATCTCCTGCTTTTGCTTTAAATCCCATCTCTTCCTATAAAATAATGGTTTTTTCTCGTTGGAATGTTTATTTTATTATTATTCTCGTTGGAATTGTTAAACTTTAAATTATATTAATCAATTAGTTAATTAATCGAATAAATTTGTATTGAGCTTTAAGCTTGTTTCAAGTTTCGTAGTCAAAATGGGTGTTTAGTTTATGAGGCCTATTGAGCTCAAGTTGTGAGACAACTTAAACAAAATGAACAAAAAGTCCACTAAATAAGGGAGGCCAGCCTTGATTAAGGTTATGGCTTAATATTGGAAGAAAGAATGGCAACTAGGGTTAGGTTAGGTTGCATGTTCATCGTACAAAGGATTTTAGGGTGATAGATAGTGTTGTCAATTCCCCTAATTCAAGGGATGTGTCTCTTGTTGTCAATTTCCTCAATTTGTCTTATTTGTCTTGTCAATTCCCTTAATTCAAGGGATGTGTCTTATTTGTTCTTTTTTGTTAGTTTTAGACGTAAATCAAGGAGGGATAAGTAGTCTTGTTTTCTTCCCTCTAGCACATATATATTGCTATCTCTTGTACCTGATTGTTTTATGATGAATATACCATTCACAAAATACAATACTTAATTTCAAGTTTGCCACTTAGTTGTGAGTGGGTATAAGAGTGAAGGTATTGTTTTAACCTCATTAGGATTTTTGAGGCTAAAAAGGGAAACATATCTCCCTTTTCTTCTAAGGAGGCTGGCCACCAAGAGGAGAAATTGCTAGCATTCTTTCATCTTCTAGGTTCATCCATCTTCTCTTCACACTCCATCCTTGGTGTAGACTTAAAGGCTTCATGGTGGAATCTTTGGAGATTTGATTTACTGCATCCTCAAGAAGCAAAGAGTCAAGGAGCAAGGAAATATCCAAGAGCTAGGAGTGACCTTGTGAACACAAATCTTTCTCTTTAACTTTGTAAAAAGCCTTGGTTCACCATTCACTAGCCTTTGAATTCCATGGGTCAAATAATTGTTTTTTAGTGCATGCCTACTTAAATTGTTAACATATATGCAAGTGTTGCTCAAAGAATTGTTTTTAGTGCATGCCTACTTAAATTGGATGTGTCGCTTGTGGTAATCCCACTAGTTTCTTTCAATTGGTGGCTGAGATCGGCGAGGTGCTCTTTGTTGAATGAAGGAGTCTTCTTTCCTTTCATCTCTGAGGTGTTGTTTGGTTGGGTTTATGGTGTTTGTTGGGAGCATTAGATCATGCTAATCAAGATGTACTATTGCGGCAGCAGTGGAAGCAGAATTCTCGATTATTCTTTTGGTTTATTTCTGGTTTTGGGCAGCAACTCTTGTTTGGTCTCTTTTTTGCTTGAAAGGTCCACTTTTTCTTTGTGCTTACTTATAATTGGGTCTTTGTTGTTGGTAATAAAATTTACCTTTTGACAAAAAAAAATAATAATAATGTATTACAATGGTACACAATCAATCAGGTGCAATTGCAGCACATTATAAAATCTTGATTGTTTTGGTTTGGTTGAACGTACAACAAGCTTTGAGTGGAATAGTACACTATTTTTCAAATAAAATAATAAACCTAATTGAAAAAAAAAAAAAGGGTACTTTTTTTGGTTTTTCCAAAATGAAAAGTAGTAGACCCAATTTTATACAACTATTTCGTTATTTT